AAGTCTTTCCGAGTCACAGGGCTCAAGTCCAAGTCAAGTCTCGAGTCCTTGCTGTCAAAGTCTAAGTCGAGTCTCAAGTCTTCTTTAATTATGTCGAGTCGAGTCGCAAGTCATCAAATTTGGGACTCGAGTCCGAGTCAAGTCTCGAGTCAAGTGACTCGAGTCCACACCCCTGATAAATACTGTTCTTTTGAATTTTCTATTTGTCAAAGAATCCTAAAAAGTATCATAGTTTCAACAATATTAAGCAGAAAAACGGCGTTCAGCATTGATAATAATAGTGTTTCTTGAGCACCAAATCGGCATATTAGAATGATTTCTGAAGGATCATGTGACACAGAAGACTGGAGAAATGGCCCAGTTTTGCCATCACATGAATAAATAACATTTTTAAAATATATAAAAAGACAGAAAGCAGTTATTTTAAACTATAACAATATTTCACAATGTTTTTGATCAAATAAATGCAGCCTTGGCAAGCATAATGTAATTAATCAGATGCATCTAATTAATCAGAATCTAATTTCAAATATATATATATATATATATATATATATGATATATATATATAAACATCTGACCCCAAACCTTTCAACAGTACTGTTTTTACATTTATTAATAATACTAACCAAAGCAAACCATTTCCATCACGTTCCTTGGTATACCATGTAATTCATGGTGTATTAGTATCGTAATATTTTAGAACAATATTATATATCAAAGAATGGTGTGGAATTTCCTTCTCATACCAACACTGTGTCATGGTCCCATGACAATATTTTTTATAAGCCAAAATTATCTGTCTTATAAGTAGAATTTATTGCTTTTAGCTATAGGTTACAAAAAAGTCTGCCTACGTTACTCCACTTTATATGACCTGAGTGCTAAACTCCCCATTCATAATACTGAGCTCAGTTTAAGCCACAGCTGGCTGTAATGGAGGAATTATGACATTCTTTAGTAACAACAAAATCCAGCTAAAGTCTAGAGCTCACCAGTACTCCTCTCCTCCAGTCATACATTTCTCATAGACAGGGCCATCCAGCTCACGTGGGCTGGGGAAGATGACCTCGTGGTGGACGATGATGGTCTTGATGACCTCATTAACATGAGCCTGACAGGCCACAGGGTCCTGACCATCCGGGATGGGCATCAGAGTGGGTCCAAAACAGATGGCAAGGTTATATGAGTCCATCATGTTCTCATCACTGTACTGGGACAGACTAGAGATGAAGAGACAGTAAAAAAGTTCTTAAAGGTGATGCAATGCTGCGGGAATTATAAACTTTCAAAAACTTTCTCTCTTGCTCCAGCTGTCTATTTCAATATATTAACTCATAACTTTGTCCCAGAGAATTCATCTTCATGTACAGTGTATTATCTTTCAGCTCATCTCTCATTCTTTTTTTTTTCAAGATTCTTTGATTAAGTTCAAACGAATAATATTTATTTGAAACCAATGTTCTGTAACATTAGAAATGTCTTTACTGTAACGTTTAAACATTTTTAATGCATTCTTGCTGAATAAAAACATTCATTAAAAAATATTAAATCAACATGAATGTTTACTTGCTTTTGAATGCTTTACTTTTTACGTTCTCTTGCCAGACATTTTTTCCCAAAAACAAAATATGTGACCCTGGACCACAAAACCAGTCTTAAGTGTCAATTTTTCAAAATTGAGATTTATACATCACCGGAAAGCTGAATAAAGTAGGAAATTTACAAAATATCTTCATGGAACATGATCTTTACTTAATATACTAATGATTTTTGGCATAAAATAAAAATCTATCATTTTGACCCACACAATGTATTTTTGGCTATTGCTACAAACATACACCAGCGACTTAAGACTGGTTTTGTGGTCTAGGGTCACATATAAGAAACTGACAAACTGCTTTGTACTGTAAAATAGCTAAGATAAAGCCAAGCACCAGTAGAAACATACAAAAAATAACAGCAATCTATGGAGTAATATCAGGTTTAATCACTCCAGTGACATTTTTGACCTATCCTGCAGCTGAATGAAACACTCACTGATGGTGGAGATCAAATCCAGGAAGCGCTCCTTGGGGAAAAGAGGGTTCTCCAGCCCTCTGAAATACAGCTTGAGAACACCAGCCACAGAGTTGATGTCATGATCGCTCTGATCATCAACCAGTGGGTCCTCACCTGAAATAAATGATGGAAAAATAGTGATTATAGGAGAAAAAATACACACACTCCTAATATATAATAATACATTTTAAGTAAAGTAAGTAATAACACAATTAAATTAAGGGTCTACAAAAGAGGGATTTGTCTCTTTACAAGAGTAATAAAACCACAAATTTAAGCACTAGCAGGCAACTTAATATACTTAATTTTTGGACGCCAATGATTCAATTACCTGTGACACAATAACAAGGTTGCACATTAAAACATAGTTATTTATCAACAACACTGCTGTATAACACCTAATGACTAATAGCCTTATGGTATCATTTGTTTAGTTTATCTTGCATCCCTCTTGTAGCTGAAATATGCGCTCATCCTCCATATCTGATGAATTGAGAAACTTAAAAAGACATGACGACAATTCCAGTAAAAGATTATCTGACCAGTTACTCTGGCTGTCCAATCCCTGTATTACTATTTTCAGAATTTGCTATTTGAATGTACTAAACGATTTTCTGTTATCATTATTATTCTTTTTTATTTTCTAGGTAGTAAATGTTTCAGTGCAAATGGAATGATTTTGACGATGGAATAGCCTTAGAAATGGCTTATATAATTTGATACATCATTTGTCAATATCAAAACCAGGCAGATGATTGTTTATATCTGCAAACATGAGCTACATGTAGAATCAATTTGTTTCACAGGAAAGCTTTTCTAAATTGAAATCCTGCCACCAAATTTAATTTTCTGATGTTATTTTCACCCTCAGCTCAGCAATGATGATCTGATGTGCGGAAGAAACATATTCACAGTTTGGAAAGTACATAAACAAAAGTAACTGAAAAATAATTACAGTTCATCTCTAGGGGCCTAACCTCTTTCAAATGAATTTTTAATATCGTTGACTTCCACCTGAGATCCAGGAACTCGGAATATGCCTTGTTGCTGCAGCCCTGGCACAGGAAAATAAAAAGAAACATGAGTCGAAAACTTGTCAAGGCATGATATTGCATTATTTCCAGCTCAAAACAAGATGCACACAGGAGGAAATGCAACATTTCCCTCTAAGGGGTCCTTTATTTTTGGCACATATGAGGTTTGCCAAAGATGTTCCAATCATTTTCAAGATTTCATTGGATCCTGAGGGAACGCCTGTGATCTAAAAGCAATAATCTCAAAGAAAGAGTAGATTAGGTTCTAGTTAACGGTCTTTGAGCCAGCAGAGAGAATAGAGTTTATAGCATTATTATTTTCTGCCTTGACATCTATAGCAGAACAATAAATCATCAATCCACTGCATACTTAGCAGCCAAACCGATGTCATTCTCTAAATTCACTGACTTCCGCTTTACCCTGACAGATGGACTTTATATGGAACTATTTCCAAAGTATCACGGGATCACTTAAACTTACAACAGATGAGTCCTTATTCAAATTAGCATCTGTGTCTCTTTCTAGTTGAGTATGTCGAGCGCTCTCTGAATGATAAGGGGATGTGTTGTTTTTGGAGAGCTCTCTAATGGTTTCCAGTAGCTCCTGAGTCAGCATGTTTATCTGCAATCGATTAGTGACCTTTCCTTGAACCGCTTACCATATAGATTAATGTATCGAATACAGCTCTCCACCACCAGAGGAATGGGTTGACCTGAGTCCTGAAAGACAACAATCATTACAAAATGGCACCAGTTTTAAAGCTGTGGCTGAGATTTAAAGGGACAGTTCACCAAAAAATGACAATTCTGCTCGACCAAACCTGACTTTCTTCTTCCGGGGAACAAAAAAGGAAATATTTTGAAGAAGAAAAACACAATTGGACTCAATTAACTTTAATTATATGGACAAAGACCATTTGGTCTATGTTTGGTATATGGACAAATATTTGGTATATGGACAAATATTTGAAAAAATATTTTCTTTTGGATTCTGCAAAAGAAAGTAAGTCATACATGTTTGGAGCATCATTAGGGCAAGTAAATGATTACAGAATCGTCATTTCCGGGTGATCTGTCCCTTTAAAGGTGCACCTGCTCATTTTCCCCCTCATTAAAATGTAAACAAAAAGTACTAAAAATAGTATGAAATTATAAAATAGTATACAATCATGTTTAATATCATGTACAATCCTAATAAATCTAATAAAACCTGTTGTATCTAACATGGAGCTGGTCACATCCATGCTGAGATCACATGACCATCTAAAAATGACTTGCTTTATCTCTGTAATCCATATTATTGGACATGTTTTCTTGTGGAATATGAATATGAAGAATTAAACCAGCTTTTTCTAGGCCACTGCTGTGACTGGAGTTTTATCTCTTGTGAGTATACATTATTTTAATTTTATTGTATACCTAAACAAATATTTGTGTATCATTAGGTGCAAAACTTTTTTTAAATGGAAAAAACTGCTTGGTGCACCTTTAAGTAACAATTTTCTAAATGCTTTAAAAACAGGGAATATATACACAAAACAAAAAATTAAAATAAAAGTATTTTTTCATTGTTTTAGTAGAAAATAAAGCAGAGCATTAAAGGGATAGTTCACCCAACACCCAAAAATGAAAATTTTGTCATTAATTACTCACATGCTCCAAACCCGTAAGACCTCCGTTCATCTTCGGAACACAAATTAAGATATTTTTGTTGGAATCTGAGAGCTCTCTCACCCTCCCATAGACAGCAAGGGTCCTTACATGATCAACGTCCAGTAACATAGCAAGGACATCGGTAAAATAATCCATGTGACATCAGGGGTTCAACCGTAATTTTACGAAGCTACGAGAATACTTTTTGTGCGCGAAAGAAAAAAAAATAACGACTTTATTCAACAATTGCTTCTCCTTTACGCTTTGATTTGAACGAAAACAACGTATCCGCGTGGCGCAGCTGACACAAAACAGCATATGCAATTTAGGTTCGTAAAATTACGGCTGAACCCCTGATGTCACATGGATGTCCTTTCTACGTTTCTGGACCTTGATCGTGTAAGGACCCTTGCTGTCTATGGGAGGGTCAGAGAGCTCTCAGATTCCATCAAAAATATCTTAATTTGTGTTCCGAAGATGAACGGAGGTCTAACGGGTTTAGAATGACATGAGGGTGAGTAAATAATGACAGAATTTTCATTTTTGGGTGAACTATCCCTTTAAGCATGTCTGTCCTCAAGGGCACATAACACAATAGAAAAAAAAAAAAAAATTTAATGTTCAGCCAAGGCTGCTAGTAGCAACTCATCCGAAGTTCGCTACAGAAAGCTCTTGTGGAAAGCAGCAATGACATGTCATTTGTCTAAGCAAATGTATTACAGCCTTATCTGAAAGGTAAAGACAGTCCATGCCTGGCCCTATTCTACAGTACCTGATTGCGGGTACGAGCATTCCGTCTTCCCCTAGGACACAAAGCAGCATAGAGCAGAGCAGAGGAGTGAAAGAGGTGAGAAAATCACAGTTAGAGAGGAAGGGACGACAGAATCGCCATGAAGACGACAGTGTTGTGGTAGTGACTGGGTGGAATAGCATTAGGGCGGCTGCTGGAATGGCTTGAGATGCAGTAAAGGGAAGCATGTGGAGAATGTGATACCCTTCGTTTAATTTTCTCTGCAATTTCTGTCTTTTTAAACAAAATACTTTAAATCTAAGTGGTAATCGACCACTTGACTGCATAAATTAAGCATTGAGGCAGTTCCTCACAAACTAATGGGCCCTGCTGAGTCTTTATTTAGGCAGAAGGGCATCAGCTGCCACCCTTATCATCTGCATCATCGCCACCTGGCGAAAGACGGGAAATTAACAGAAGCAAATAGAGGGTGTGCGCGCATGAGTCAGTGAGGAAAAAACAGACAGAGCTTCAGCCATCCCTCCAGCCCATCAGGGGGCGCTGTTAGCACCAAAGTCAGTGGGTACCTTAATGAAACTCTCCATATTGCCATTAAACAGCTTATGGTTATAGATGGAACGAGGCCTTGGTTTCCGCAATTTCTGTGGTTTCGGGGGAAGGGTTGGGGGTCTGAGGAATGGAGATGGTTAGATGGAACAAAAAACATACACAAAACACCCTCTGAATGACATATTATATCAAAAACCTTAAAGGATTAGTTCACCCAAAAATGAAAATTCTGTCATTAATTACTCACCCTTATGTTGTTCGAAACCCGTAAGACCTTCGTTCATCTTTGGAACACAATTTAAGATATTTTTGATGAAATATGAGGGCTCTCTGACCCTCCCATAGACAGCAAGGTAACTACCACGTTCAAGGTCCAGAAAAGTACCAAGATGATCGAAAAAGTAGTCCGTGTGACATCAGTGGTTCAACTGTAAAGTTACGAAGCTACGAGAATACTTTGTCGTTACGAAGCTACGAGAATACACACAGACTACTTTGTCGATCATCTTGGTACTTTTCTGGACCTTGAACGTGGTAGATACCTTGCTGTCTATGGGAGGGTCAGAGAGCCCTCATATTTCATCAAAAATATCTTAATTTGTGTTCCGAAGATGAACGAAGGTCTTACGGGTTTGGAACAACACGAGGGCGAGTAATTAATGACAGAATTTTCATTTTTGGGTGAACTAAACCTTTAAAACTTACACAGCAAACCCTTTCCCATCTACTCAACTTTTACTTATGTCTCAGCGGAGGAAACAGCCGATAATGAGGGGTTTAAATAAGCAACAGGCATTAATTGTTGTTCTTTAAAAGATCGTAATTACATCCTAATGCTTTTGACCTGAAATTATCCAAAAACAACTGCAGGGAGTTTTCTATTCCCTATAGGAGCACTGAATCAGGCCCTTATTGAAACATTTAGCTATGGAAACATAATTGCTCTTGTGACAGACCGGTAAATGCAATCAAAATCAAACATGACATGGCTCTGTACTTTGGTGGTTACATGAGGGCACAAGCACAAGCTGTTGTTTATATTTGATTACATGATTAATCATTAACAGATATTAGTTGGATGTTTTCAACAAAATTGTATAGATATTTTGTCATAGAGCTTGAACAAATACCATTTCTCTTTACTATTTGGGCCTTAAACATATTCTATGCAACTACGTGAATGAAAATGCTTCTAGCTACACTAGAATAATTTCATATCGGAGTACCAACATATGCATTGGTGAAGTGTTCGCAACTGTATTTGTGGAACAGTGTTTCATTTTAAATTTTAAATAAAGAGCATATGATTATCAATGGCATCACTGGTAGATGTCCTCCAACTGAGAGGTCAGAAGAGGCCTGCATCTGTTTACCAGGAAGGCTCTATTCTCAGCATTCTCCGACTGTCAGAGGACATTCTGGATAACCCAGCATGAGCTGAGCCCCTGCCAGTGACAGCTAGAGGACAAGTCCCCTTTTGACCGTCATGCAAAATCAAAAAAGTTTTATTTGTCCTCTCTTGCTTTTACCCTGGCCTGTTAAGTGATTTAGAGGTTGTTTTAGCAGCTGAACATGCAGAAAATGAGTGAAAATCATCTCTTTTTAGTCTAAAAATGCCACAACAATGATTTGCGACTGTGGTAAAATAACTTTTCCATTAAAAACAATAATCATGGATATGGATAATGAATAATGAATATGGATGAGAGGTATAACGCGGACTGAATCTTATTCTTTAATGACTCAATGGCTTAACAAGTGCAGTTTTCTTTAGAGATAATTCAATTGGACAAAAATCTTGAGAGATTGAGGTAAAAGTATATCTTCACTCTTTAAAATAAACGTTTCAAAAGGGTGTTTTCACAGCTATACAATCTTAACTTTTGAAGGTTCCAAAAGGGGGGTTTCAAAGTGATGTCACATACTGTAAGGGGCCGTTTACACGACAACGTTTTCAGCCAAAAACGGGAAACTTTTTATGCGTTTTGCCTGTTTGTTTACACGACAACGGCGTTTTGGGGACTGAAAACGCGTATTTTTGAAAACGGGTTTCAAAGTGCAAGTTTTTGAAAATGCCACCATTGTCGTTTCCGTGTAAACACCCAATACGGCAATCTTTGAAAACGGTGATGTCATGCGCGTGCGTAGTACGTGTTAGGTCTGTAGACATGCGCAGTACGTGTCGATTTTAAAGGCAAGCGCGAACAAACGTACACAACAATGGCGGAGTACATGGTAACATTACTGTTGTTGCTGCTCAAGAGTTTGCTAATGTTTCTTCAGCAAAGTGTGGATTTACTTCACCAATATTACAACCAACAGCGGAGACGCATCATATACATCATATAATCCTTACTTCCCTACAGGTACTGTTTACTAACAAGGTGACAGCGCCAACTACTGGCCTGGCATACGTAATACAGCGTTTTTGTTCAGCGTTTTTTCACATTTACACGGATATGTGTTGAAAATCGTTTTGAAAACATTGTCGTGTATACGTGAAACTTTTTAAAAACGCAAGGGAAAAACTTTTCCGTTTTTGACTACATCGTTGTCGTGTAAACGTAGCCTAAGAACCATTCTGGGTTCCCCAAAGAACCTTTCAGTGAACAGTTCTTCAAATAACCTTTTGTTTCCTAGTTTGAAGAACATGTTAATAATCTACGGAACCATTTACTATTAGGGTATTTATGCAATGGAAAGGTTCAATGGATGGTAAATTTCTTCATGGAACCACAGGAGTTTTGATTTTGAAAATGTGAATTTCATCATCAGCAGAACTTTCTTACCTTGTAGTTCCACAATCAGCTCTTTCTCCTAAAATAGAGAGTGGAAAGAGGGAGGGGTTAGAAATGTCTTTATTAGCATGATCTCATGCGCTGGGTTCTAAAGCTCGGTCAGAGCGTACTGAGGGCTATCGTGAGAGTGGCCAGTGCTATTGAAGATGAGATGAATGGGTGAGCAGCCACACAGCGCTTGAGACAAAGAGGAGCACTGGTCACCGTAGAAACCTCGGAAAGGGCCCTGTGGGGTGTCAGACGGTCACAGAAGGAACTAAAGGGGCTAAATGAGCGAGTGTGTGTGTTTGTATTTGTGGGTATGAGGGTGTGTAAAAGTGGGTGTGCATCAAGGGATTCATTTCACACTGGTGACACTGAGCGATGTCTGTGATGGCTCACTAGGTTCTTTGTCCCAATGTCCAGTGCACTGAAAAGGGTTCCTTGGTATCGCCATCATACAAACAATGAAAATATATACATGCCCACAAACAAATACAAACAGAATAGTCAAAAAAGAAAAATGATAATGCAAGAATGTTTCCAAATTATTCAAATGTCAGTTTCAGTTTTCAATTTTAAATTAAATAGCAATAATAGTAATTGATAAAAAAGGATAAAACACTCAGGAGTGACAATAATGCAAGAATTAAACTATCAAACTAAACTATCAAACTACTTAAATGTTAGTTTCGGATTTCCATTAAAAAAAATAAATAAATAAATAAAATAAAATATATTTTTGTTTTCTTAGATTTGTTGTTGGGTTGATGCCAGGACGTTGCTAAGGTGTAAACAACTGTGTGGTTGTTAAGTATTTGCTATTTTTGCCATATCGTATCTCTATCACACTGTAGTGCCTAGACGAGGCTTGTCGGTATAGGATTTTGTTTTTTTGTTTTTATTTTAGCTTGTGAAATCTGACTACTGAAAATATGAAAGCACACCTCTGCTCAACAAGCTCCACAATTCATGTCAACAAATTATTGTGAAAATCCAAAAATAATAGTGATGCTAAGCACACACATTTTTAAAAAGCATATAAAACTAATAAAAAGAAGAAAAAATTACAAAAAAGTCCCCAAATTATCTCTAGAGCATCTGCCCATAATGCAGACCCAAGTTTTTCCAATTCTGAATCGCCATGTAATGATGTGCAACCACTAATGTTTCTACATGGGTACTTCAGAGATGTGAAGTGGGCCCTCAAATCACTTCATTTCACTAAATCTGCATATCAAATGGAGTGGTTCCCATGTGCCTTTACTATGCCCTCTAAAATCATTCCAAAAACTGAAAGGCTTTTGTCTTGCCAGCTGAGGAGTTAAAAAAAGACTCAAATCCTTTCCAACCATGCTTCTGGATAGTGGTTTGGGAGGATCTGGTTTACACACAGAACATTTGCAAATCGAGACAGTTATTCTTCCACATTACTAATTTAAATAAGCGTCAGCATTTAAGCCAGGTGGCTGGTGACATGGCAACCCTTGATAACATTAATAGAGAGAATTAGATGTGCCGAGCTAATTGGCTTAATGGATGGAGGATCAATTAGGTGAATAATTTAAAAACATGTGACAAACTCATGTATATGCACTAATGCACACACCTTGGCTAGCCTCGAGTGTCTGGTTTTACTGAGCCGACGAGGGGAAGTGTAATTGAGCACACAGTCTGGTGAGGGGAAGAGGGCAGGACTGGTCAGCGATCATATACGTGGATGGCTGGACTCAGCTGGGGTGTCCCACAGTGTGCCGTCATTAGATTATGAGCTGCCGCACAGGCAGCTGCCGAAATTCCCCCCCGGTGCCACTAGCTGATTGATTGGGCGTAAACTGCCCGTAACCGAAGTGACAAGAGGCCTTATGGGAGATGCGGCCATGAAAGCAGGGTCTTTCTAATCATCTGACAACAAAAGGCCTTATACTTACAGGAATATTCAAGGTAAATTTCAACTAAATGTCTATGGCATCTGTGTCCCTCAGTTGGTAAAAACAAAGCATGTTCACACTAATATATGTAGAATGGCAGCCTAGCTTTTGTGCTTTGTTAAAACACTTAAATGGATTATTTATACCCCAAAACACTGTCATAGCTTAACAACATTTCAGTCTTTCTTCGGGCATTTGCTTCGAAAAGGTCTTTGACTACAACATTATTATTTGCCTGAAGAAAATCTTTGGCATTATCTAGAAAGTCTACAAAATCTACAACAGTGTGTGGGACTTTTTTCACAGTATTAGCTGTGTCGGTACAATTCAAAAGTAACTGGGTTTATGTTTTAGCTAGTTGTGATATCAGTTGAAAGATTGGACGTAACTTTGCACAGAAGGCTAAGTAAGCAATCATACTTTTATTACATTAACACGTGTAAAAGTTTGTGTTACAGTCATATTTTAAATGTTTAATCCCCATTTGTATTAACAAACTGAAGGTTAACTCAAAAATATCGTCTATGGTAATTCACAGTGTAATATAGATGTGGAACATACTGTAAACATTAGGCTGAAAATGACCCTCTATATCGCTTAAACGTAGTTTAAAGCTCTATACCAGGGGTGGCGAACGTCAGTCCTGGAGAGCCGCGGCCCTGCCGAGTTTTGCTTCAACCCTAATCAAACACACCTGATTGTTCAAGGTCTAATCAAGGTCTGAAGGGTTACTAGAAAGCTACAGGGAGGTGAGTTTTAATTAGGGTTGGAGCTTTACTCTGCAGGGCTGCGGCTCTCCAGGACCGGAGTTCGCCACCGCTGCTCTATACCCAAAGATAGATGAGAGTGAAAATCTGGGATTTTTTTTATAAATATAAACTTACATTAGATTAAATACAATATATTTTTTCTATATATAAAATTGTATTAATTAAAAATCCCAGACTGTCATGGAAGAATGACATAAAGAAAATATCATATCTTTATATCTTATTTATGTCACTAATCAAATTGGTGACACTGACCATATTAAAACATGATCATCAGTTCTACACAAACTTGTGGAGTTCATGCCAGTTCTGCCCGTTTTAAATTAGACAAGCAGACACAAAATAGAAGAATTTTCACTAGTGGTCTTAAACTTTTGGCCCTCACTTCTGTAAATCTTGTCCAGTTAGTTTAGATACATTCATTATACAAACTTTTTGAGCTCGCTATGAAGCTACAACTTTCAATTTTATATCCAACAGTGACCAAAGTTGCAATTAGATGCCAGAGGCTTAGCTGACGCTCAGCATTTCCAGAGAGCAGAGAGAAACGTATTTAATAAACAGACAACTCACCTTCCCCCAGAGTCTGTTTCAGCAGGTCATGCTTGGCCTGCAGCTTAATGATGAGGTTACTGCCGTTCAGGTACTCCTTGAATTTCTGCGACACAGATGAAGGCGTCAGTGAGCTAATGATTTTAATAGGATGAGACTAAAACAGGGGAGTGATGTGTGCTGTGGGCAACAAAGAACAGATTTTGCTGTACTTTGCACGCCGCAAATTCAATCTGTTCCAATAGGAGGATTTAATTTCCGTCTCATTGGTGAGGCATGGGCCTTGTCACGAACGTTTTGCGGATTTGTGCGTGATGAGTTTGGACAGATAGATAGGACAGGCCGAGTAGACTTTGATATCAGTGTTTGCAGAGATGATTGTGATGAGAACCATGTATTAAAAGATTTACTGATAGTCCAGAGAACCTGAGGACCTGGAATTCATCTTTATTTTTTATTTTTTAAATAATTTTAAATGGAAGATGCCAGGTTTTGCCATTTTATGTCCAAAATAACTAGGAGCGTCAATCGAAAAAAAATTGAATTCATTTCATATGCTGATCAATAAATAAATTTTATATACCATTCACAAAAAGTCATATAAAAATGGACTAAAAATAATAACAGTACTTGTGGTCCCAGTGCTTATGGTCTGAGAAAATACAGGCACTCACAGTGAAGTAGAAGACTTCCGTCTCCTGCTGATTGGCTCGTCTCTTAGCAATGTTTAATTTGCTCATGTAACTCTCGGAAGCCACTGATTTGATGGACTCCGTGGATCGGCTGTGCTGGAAGGCATCTGAAACATCAAAGTCCTCCACTGTCAGCATGTCTTGTAACGTCTGCATGGTGGCATCCAGGGTCTTGCGCACCTAATTAAACATAGCAGGGACTCAGTAAGATGAAAGAGAGAGGATTATGAACTTAGGGAATATAAGTTACGTAAGATTTACACTACCGATCAAAGTTTAGGGTCAGTAGGAGCAATTTTAAAAGAAATGTATACTTTCTTTCAGCAAGGATTAATTAAATAGATCAAAAGTCACAGTACAGAATGAATGTTGTTCTTTTGAATTGTCTTTCAACTGAATTGTTTTTTTTAAATCACGGTTTTCACAAAAATATTAAGCAGCATAGCATGTCAACATTCATTCTAAAATGAAATTTTTCTTGAGAACCAAATCAGCATACAAGAATGATTTTGGAAGTTCATGTGACACTGAAGACTGGTTGCTAATAATGGTTTCTAAAAATTCAGCTTTTCCATTACATAAATTACATTTTAAAATATATTTAAATATAAAGCAGCTATTTTAAATTGTAATATCATTTCATGATATTACAGTTTTTACTGTTTTTGGTGCCAAGCATAGAAGACGTATACCGACCCAAAACCTTTGAACAGTAGTGAATATTTCTAGACATCTGACAGTGACCTAACTTAAAGGGAAGTTGGCATTTGTTGAAATTGTGTGAATGACTTGTGTTAGTCTTAGAAGCATCAGTTAGAATAAGTTTAAATGTACACCCAAACCGGTAATGATTCACACCATATGCCATCCTTCAAGTGTATTCATGAAGTAATACATGAAAATCTGTTTCTGTCTCAGAGTAAAAAAGAAAAAGGCAGTTATGACAGTCTAAAATAGGAAAGGAAGAGATAAAAAGACACATTTTTTTCCTAAAGTGGAAACTGGCTTCCATAATTATATTACACATTTCTTTTGTATATACACTAAATATTGTTATAATATAAAAAAATTTTTTAACACACACACACGCACACACACACACACTGGTTTCCATTTTTTTGTGGGGACTCTCCATAGGTGTAATGGTTTTTATACTGTTTTATACTGTTCTATCGCCCTACACCAACTCTCCACCTAAACCTACCCCTCACAGGAAACTTTCTGCTCTTTCAGATTTTCAATGCACTCCATTCTCTGTGATTTATAAGCTTGTTTCCTCATGGGGACCAAAAAAATGTCCCCACAAGGTCAAAATGTACTGGTATTACTATACTTGAGGGGAAAATTGGTCCCCAAAACGTGATGAATACCAGGTACACACACACACACACACACACACACAAATGATGTTAAAATGTATATGTCTCATGTTGTTGTCATATAATGTTAGCAGGGAAAGGAAAAAATAAATACTGGCCTGACATAAACAAAAAATCTTTATTGTTAAACCCTGGAATTTACTGTGGGCACTTTTATAATACTTTAAAAACAAAATTTTCTGTGCACAGTATATTTGAAAAAAGCGCTTATTGTTTGCAATAAAAGGTATGCGCCTCTGTGATATATTCAAACCCACAATATGAGCTTAAGAATATTGAGAGACTGAAAAAATGGATTAAACTTCCAAATAAAAGTATTTGTGTTGTACACTAGTTCAGAAAACAAATCACCAGAAGAAAAAAGTGTAAAATGAGCTTCAACTACCATCTATGTGTCACTATGATACATATACGGCCACAGTCTTAAATGTGTTCCTGCTTACTTGAATGCTTATGCAGGTAAAGTTATTAAAACCTCAAAAATGAGCAATAAAGAAAAGATCTCAACCTATTTCACCTATTTTGAAGATAACCAACGCAGCCAAGCCACAGGTGATATTTTTATATATACTGTAGTGCTGTATGCAGCTCTGAAACTTCCTAAACCTCTATACTGGTACATTTGACCCTGGGACTATAGATCACTCACACCAATGTATAAAATCAAGGATTGTCTGAATGCTGTAGTGACTGGTGTGTAAATTGGCCCCAGGCCCTCAGATTAATGTGGCACATTTCCTATATGACACAAAATCATCAATTACTAGCTTGTTATGAGACACAAAGTGATAAGGGCGAGATGAAATCATCAATACGCACAGACGGGAGCTATTACAAAGTCCATTAGCACCTGCATACACTTAGTTGGTCGGTGAGATGTGTTCTGCTCTCCCAAAACAAAGAATTACCCTCACAAAGACCAAACATGGAGATAACCGTACCATCCCAAAAGATACACACACCATTAACAGATGAGAATGCTAAAAATACACTCTCAGTTCCCAAGAAAGTTGGACTAAATTGCAACGAGTTTGATTGCTAGGCTGAAGTATTCTCTGGAGCGCTTTAAAAATGGTTTTTAAAAAGTATGTGAGTAAAGCCGAGGGCTGTTTGAGTGCTAAAGACTCGTGTGTGAGAGGCAGTTGGGCTCTCTGCAGAGTGATGACTCACACTAAAGACACTGATGAATCTTTACACTGAGCAGGTGTAAATAAAACTCAACAGTTTCCAAAGCATGTGGTTGGAAGAGAGGGATCTGTATAGCATACAGAACTGATGTTAAAGTCAACAGGAAACAGAGTTTGCAACCTATTTTACTTCTATAACATGACGTTGTGCTTGAAGTGGAGAGATCGAAATTTTCACTTGCAAATTCCATTCATTACAATAGGAATCCATGTGTTCAGGAATTTCACATGTGTGAGAAGGACTTCCACACACAGATTTCGCAACGGGTTCAGGTTGGTCACACAAATTTGCTGAATTGACCATCAGAAAGCCTTTTTTCACCAAAATTTGTGAAAATGTGACATGAACCGATGAATCAAGATCGCCAATGAAAGATCGTCTCTTTCATTAGTTTAATCTTATGTTTTACCTTGTAGTTTGTTCTAGCAAAGCTAGACAGGGTCATCTGACTGACACTGTAAATCAACTAGTTCTTTTATATGTTTGGTTTAAATCTGACATACTACAATCTGACTAACTTTGAGAACAAAGTGGATTATACAGCTGCACTCCAACAAGCTCTGAATATCTCTCAATATTCAAAGCCTTGACCCACAAAAACTGTGAATCAAACAACTAGATCTTTCAGTGGAGCATTCAGTGCAGCTGCTTGGTGCCTTATCGGTAAAGTTACCATACCGTAACTTTGTTTCCCAGCACACTGATAAAGACCTGCACACTCTGACTTTTTGGAAATTGGATAAAACCAGTCAATCAGATGGGAGCTAGCGATTATTTTAGTGTGCAATATGCATCACAGTCAGTGAATGGTTTTTGGTTGTGGCGTCTGAGGCTGAGACTAAATAATTATTACTGAGAGGTGGATAGCATAACAATGGCCATGATAAAATGTTGCATGTAGTAACTGTGATGATTCTTACCTCCTCATTCTCAATCTTGAGCGTGGCCAAGCGGGACTGCAGCTGGTGGTAACGCATCAGAAGTTCGGTCTGGACTGGCTGCTGGGCACTCACCTGGCACACCTGAGACACACAAAAACAAAACACAAAGCAGTTTATCTCTGTCATGATCAGTGCTCCACATTGGGGGGGGGGGGCAACTGTTCCAATAATAAGATATTATTGGGTAAGTTGAAGGCTAGATACCTCATCTCCCATGTGCGGCAGAAACTCAAAGCGCATGGGTGGGCAAAAGACCTGATTGTACATGTCCATGATCTTGTGCTTGTCGCTACGAGGGTCCAGGTTGTCCACAGCGTTCTCAATGATATCCAGACCCTCATGGCGAGAGGTCTCCAGGTTGTACTCAGCAGACAGATACGTCCTTAACGTGCGTGCCAAGCTAGCATGATACCCGAGGTCACAGCACTGTAGAAAGAAGAAAAATTAAGGATGAGAGATAAAATATCTCACAGCAAGCCTGAATAACATTTAGATGGACACAAATCCAATCTTTCTTTCTGCAAAGACAGTATAAATGAAATTTTATTTGCCAAAATGTTTCCATGGTGATGCCTATTTTTAGCAGTCATGAGATTTCACATTTCACTCTAACAGGACGAACTGTAAGACAGGTAGCATCTCTTGTGTCTCCGTGGATCACAGTGCCATTAAAATGACATGATCTAAATGAGTGAATTTCATCTAGCGGAGAATCGAGATCGTCAGTATCTATAATTAGAAGAACAAGCGCAGTGGGATATCTTAGCTAATTAGTTTAAACGTGCAACAAATGTGCGACTAACCTCTTTTAGCAATGTGGAGCAAGTTTAAATTTGCTTGAGGGAAACTTTAAACCTCTATGAGTCATTGCGACAAAGCAGTTATCGCTCTATTGGACTGTAAATCCATATATTATGCTTTAAAGGGTTTGAGTGCAAACACTAGACGGTCATAGCCTGTGGCACAATCTATTTAGCATTACAAAGCCACAGGAGAGGAGGTGTACAACGGTAAAAAAAAATATAGCACAGTAATACCGCCAAGTTTAGATTCTGTATTTACACATTTTTGGACCAATAACAGCACTGGTTCAAATTCTCAGCATTTTCTAATAATAACAAATCATTAGAAGTAAATCCATACTATTTAAAATTATTTACTGAGTCCAGTGGTAATACTGAAACCACTGTTTGCACTAAGACAAACATACTTCAATCTAAAGCAGAAAACCACTGCTTAACTTCTGCTGTGCATTGGGGTTAGCAAGGGTTGCCATGACCAATTGTTTGAATAAACCTGTTTACCTTCGGTTCACTGTCAGTTTCACTGAAAACTATCAAACATGACAGACCTGCCCTACTTCTGACCCTGCACTCTTAAAAGTAAAAGGTTTTTCTTACAGAGAATTATTTTTAACTGCATGGTTGTAGACTTGAAAATGAAAAAAAAGGGATGTTCAAAAGCAAAAAAAACTAAACAAAAATGTCTTTGTTCTGCTCAACACAAAAGGAAACATTTTTTGGTCCATACAATGAAAGTCACTGGTGTTTTATGTAGTTTTGTACCAAATGATTTATAAATATATTCTCTGTGTTTACCAGAGAAACAAAATGATGACATTGTAAGAGATGATAAATGATACCATAATAAAACATATTTGGGGTGAACTAGAGGAGGAAATGCAAATTAAAAGAGGAAATGCAAAGCCTTCCTAGTTTCTTTAAAGCACCAGTACCATGGGTTGTGGCACTTATGATTTTTTGGAACAGCTATAGCAAACCGTAAATTCCTGGTACAAGGTAACCTGGCATCCTACTGTAATTCACCACGGCAGGCCACAAGTACCACATGAATTTCTATATACCCAATGATGGGTGTGGGTGTTTTGTGAGTTTTGGTTTGGTTTGGTTTCTACCAATTAGTGGTTTTAAAGTTAAACCTATGTCAACAACCTAACTGAAAGCCCTTTACAGAGTTCTTCCAGCTTCAACCTGTTAACTGTCTTAGGGATTTACATCTGTTTCTATATATAAAAAACAAAATCAGACGGTACAGAAAGTGATTGTCCAATGCAACATTCCTTAAGAAAACAGTTGCTACAAAGATATGCAAACAGTATGTGACTGCAGTAGTTTGCATAGAGCAATATATCTCGGTTTAAAAGTTATCTATAATGGCTTGTTTCCTTTTCGCCCTTTTTGCTGTTATCAGGAAGTACAAGTGTGTGTGGTTTTATGTTTTCTTAAATTGCTTCAGGATATTAGGGCATACTGATGGACAGCAATGTGACACTCTTTGCACCTCTCAGCAAAAATCACAGAGGTTCGGTTTATCTAAAGTGTGCGTACTAATGCTAACACGACAGAGACAGCAGAGACGAGCCAGCAGGGGAAATATTTCAGTATACTTCACATCACCGATCCAGTCTCAGCAGATTTTTGATAGGATGATACCCATGCGACTGACAGCCTTTTGTTGTATATGCAACAATATTTTGTGAATTAAATGCATTAAAAGGGTTTATGTGCAATTAAGCTAGTAATTCCATTTTCTTGTTATAAATCTGACAAAAATCATTCTGGTTTGGCAGAATAATAGTTTTAATCTTTCATTGTGAAGCCGAATGAGGCTGCAAAACAGATTAGAAGGTAACAGTAATGGTGATTAATAATTCAATAAAAACACAAATACCAGAGGGAGAGGGGAATAAAATCAGAACACAAATCCAATTCACTAAAAATTACATTCTAGCAAAGGCAAAGCAAACATTTAGAGAAACGAAATGAGGCAAACCATATTAACAAGGAGACAATTCACCCGCAATGCAAAGAGAAACAGATGGAGCCGAGCCCTCATCAGTTCAACTGTTTAAATCACAGCTGATACACACAAACAAACGCATGCCTCATTGTGCATACTCACATCAATCATATCCGAAACATCGTGGATGTAATATTTCGCCACGACGGCGTTGGTGGCTGCCAGGTTCAATAAATAGTCGTTGCGGGCTTTTGTGCATTTCAGTTTGTTCTCGGAGTACTTGGCTTGCCTCTGGAAAAGGGAAACAAAATGGAGAAGAAATCAGTTAATATAAAAAAATAGCTGGTTCACTGATAGAGGCGATTGGGTCATGATGTAACACTATATGTTCACACAATACCAACTTGACCTTGATTTAAGAGGAATGTCTTTGCTTGAAATATATAACATTATCTCAAGTTAAAAAAGCCACTACCCGTACATGTATATGTAAAAGGCATTAAAGACTTAATGTGTTTTTAGCTTTTAACAATTCATGACACAAGAAAAACATACTTTTAAAGGCAATGTACAACATCAGACCATTTTTATAGCCTACAGAACTTTTTAATAAAATAATTTAAAACATATAACACATCACTTGCCCCAGCACCAATGTGACAACTTGCCCCAACCTGATATTTATGAAAAATATGCTTGTTGTGAGAACACTGTGCAGTATTTGGGGTTAAATTTACATTCACAAAGGCAATTTATTGGGGCTATTACAAAAGTATGATGAATTTTACATTTTCTATTCTTTTATTCTAATTTGGAGGACAGACTTCGCAAAACATCATTGTGTTTGAAATCAATATATAAAACCGCTTTTGACTGATTACTTTCTAATTAAGTATTTGGCAGACACTTTCATCCAAAGTGACTTATATAGCATCCATGGTATACATTTTATCAGTCTTGCTTTACCTGGGAGTCGAGCCCATGATCTTGGGGATGCTAGCACCATGCTCTACTGTTTGAGCTACAGAAAATCTTACTGAAATATAAGCCTTGTGACAACGTTCCCTTTAGGAAACCAGCCCCAGTCTATATATAAAAAATTATTAGCACATAGTTTATTCAAAGACATAACAGAACATATATTTTGGAGTGTACCGAGATAGTAATTCACACTTCACTTAAACGAAGTCTTTAAAAAAATTAAAAATGTAAAGTATTCCATATATGAATTCCATATGTGAATAGGTCTGAAACATTTAGGTTTATGTAAATTGCACAGAACAACAAACTGATAATTAAAAAAATGTAAATTCGGAGAGCATGAATAATAATATATATCATATGAGAGTTCTCTGTGAATTGAAACAAGACACAGAGACTGAGTCTCATCTGCTTGTGAGCTCCAGCTGGGTCCTGCTGAATTTTTCATCAAAAAGCTTGAGCACTCAAAGCAGACAGCTGCTCTAGTATCATTAATAACAGCTGACTGCTACATAATTGTATTGACAAAACAAAATCCTTAAATGAAGAACAAACACCAGTGATTAGTACATGTAAGTTCAAACGCTTGAATACTGATCAAATGAGTCGAGTTCGATGACGATTAAACGATCACTGTTATGAAAAGCAAGTATGACGGGAACAATATATAAGCTGACCATTATTTAAACTTAAGCATGTTGGTAACCAAATAGTCGCAGTTCCTTTTGACTTTCATTGAATTTTTTGTCAGGGGGAATCAATGGGAATGGGAACCGAAACTGTTTGGTTACCAACATTCTTCAAAATATCTTCCATTATGATCCACAGAAGAAAAAAAGGAATTCAGGTTTGAAATAGGCATTATGGTGAGTACATGATAACAATTTTCATTTTTGGGTGGACAAATCATAGTTCAAATGAGGCCTTTTAATCATTGTGCCACAGAATCACAGTCATTAGCTGGGTTTGAATTATAGCAGTCTCTTTTAAAGTTTAAAGATTACCAGCATATAAACTGAATAAATTATGCAGTGTATTTTTTTTTTTGTCACCCTTATTACTTTTGTAATATTCACATTTAATCTAAAATTAGGGCTGCACAATTCTGACAAAATTCATAATTGTCATTTATTCCAATCTACTGTTCAAATTGAATACAATCGGAAGTGCAATTCAAAATGTATTTTCACATGATCAAACACATTAGTAACTGATAGTCCGTTAAGGCTTGCAGGTGTGCTAGGATCACGTCGAAGTCTGCTCGCCTGCAGAATCAGGTCAGGCTGCAGAGAAACACAGAGCATCCATGGCTACCATGGTTATAAATAGTGTGAGGCTGAGTGGCTTTCATGCCAACATCTCTACGCATTGCAGCCTGAAAGGGGAGGAAGGGAGGGAGAGAGAGAGAGAACAGCAGAGAGAGAAAGAAAGCGACACAAAGAGCAAAAGTGAGAGAGCGTGCAAGCTGGCTAGTAAAGGAAACAAAATTAATTCACATGAAAACTGCCTCGTGCGAAAAGCACAATATTCGCAAATGTTAATTTATAGAATTTTTTGTATGGTCCCACAGTCACTGTGAGTTAGCTTCCTGTAAGTTTATAGAACTAGCTATGAATTAGCATGAATTAGATGATTTACAGCTGAAGTCACTGACCTGAAATGTTGAATCTGGTTTGTGTGAGTAGTCAGCCATTCAGTCTCCAGACTGTCTACAGTCTCACTGACCTCATTGTCCATTCTTAGATAAAGCTCAGCCCACATTCATTTTTATAAACCCATCCATCAGGTTCATTCAAACCTAAGTGCCTGCACTGCTTTTAAGAGCCGATGAGAAGGTAACTAAGAAGAAGGCAGGGTTGCTACTTGGTGCGGGGGGGATGTTGCTATCATGATTGGGCTACACGATTTGGGGAAAAAAATATAATTGGGATTTTTCCTAATAAAAATTGGGTTTAAGATTTAAAATGTGATTTTAAAAAAACAATTACAGTAATAGTAGCTATAAGTAACTATAGTAATAAGCAGATTATTATTATTATTATTATTATTATTAAATAACTGAAAATCTGAATTATTACTATTGTAATATTTCACAGGAACAAAATTAGTATTTAAGGGGAAAATAATACAATTATTATTATTGTTGTTATGTATAATTTTCTTAACTTTTATTATAACTAAATAAAAATATTAAACAAAATATTACCATTGAAATATTTCATTTAGAGTATTCAAATAGAGTATTAAAATATAATAATAATAATAAACACAAATATTAAACACAACACTACTGTAATATTTTATTTCACTGTAAAAAAAAAAATATATATATATATATAAGAAAAATATATATTTTTTACAGTACAATAACAGTTTTAAATTAAGCTTATTTCAAAGGAAAAACGCAGGAATGCTCTTAAAGCTTCTCATTTTTTGAAAAAATACCATTTATAAGCGCTTCTCATTACAAGTTTGGGAATATGGTTGGCATATTTATGAATACATATTATAAGCAACCCAAACTTGGAGCACTTGAAGAGATGAGTTTGTATTGAACAGCATTTACGGTCAATCGAAACTCAGGGTTTGCATTCGGAAGTGTTCTGGTTTGATCCTCGCAAAGAGGCGTCACCATTGTGCTTTTGAGCACTTAACCAAGAACAAGGGCACTTAACTCAAGGTTCCTCCATGGGGATTGTATAATAAGAGTACTGAAAGTAGCTTTGGATAAAAAAGACAATTTATCATGATGATGCAATATTGGCTTTCACTTCCTTCCAAGGTGGCTTTCGAAGGAAGTCAAGGAGAGACAAAAGGCCAGCTTTATCCTCCATTGTGCACAGATAATATACACCACTTGAAATAACATAATCTTTCTCTTAAAGGGTCACAATCCTACTTGAGAGTGTTGGGAGAAGGAATGAATGTGATTCTAGGCTTCAACGGCCCTTTGGTTTAATAAAAGCAGGGTGGCATTGTGAGTCACTCTGCCGAGCATTATGAGCCCAGCGGCTAGCTCACCAGAGTTATCTCACCTTCTCCTTCATCTTCTCAATCTTCCTGACCGAGCTGCGGCGCTGGGGTCGGTCCTCGTGGCGCAAGAGGTTGACATTGAGGTCTCCAGATTTGCTAAACTGCTTCTCTTCTTGTTTCTCGGCCTCCTTCAGTTTGCTTTCTGCACTGATGCTCTCCGTGTGGTAAATGTGATACGTCTTCATCACCTGTAGGATGATATAAAACACTATGAAAACTAGTCTAACAGCGTCACACCAGGCGGGTTGTAATAAAATCTCTGCCACGTGGGTTTTTGTCCTAACTAGCTGTGAAAACATGTTGATATTTTGCAGGTAGTTTGTTTAACATTTCTCCTGTGTTTTACTTGGCAGCACCGCCCACTCCAAAATCTCATTGGTCTGAAATCCTGCTTAACAGAAGTTCCATTTAAAAGAAAAAATTCTCTCAGTGATTATGTTTTGAAAACATTTTGAACAAGCCAATAATAAACTGCAAAAATAAGAAATTGACACTTTTGTTCAGCAAGGATGCATTAAATTGATAAAAAGTGACAATAAAAACATTTAAAATGCTACAAAAAAATTGTAATAAACTTTTTGTTATTCAAAGAACCTTGAAGACTGGAGTAATTGAGTTTTCACTGTATTTCTGATCACATAAACGCAGCCTTGGAGGAGAGTATTAACTTTGCACATTAAACAGGGACAGAAGAAAGTAACAAACACTAAAAAAGCTTATACACTTCCAGTTTATGTGGGATAAAATCCTAAATTGTCCTAGAATGCTTCCAATTTTCATAAAAATGTAAATGAGAATATGTACTGCAGAAACAACCCAAGGCTTTAAATGTCAAACAACAAAATGAAACATTTCATAAATGTTATTCTCACATTTACTCAAAATGAAGACATCCATGGTTTTCCTTGGTGATACAAAACAACTCAATCCTGACACTTTCTTAAAATGATCTCCAAACTAGTTTAATTCCAGAGAAGCTGCGCAGGTCTCAGTTGAGAAGGATCAGTTGTATTCCCGTCAGCTCTACAGAGCAGATCACCTCATGAATATGCATAGGAGTATGGACTTGGCAGCAGAAGTACCATAATCCTGCCTCTTTCCACCAAGTCCAAGCCTTCCATTCAAGCCCGGGATGACAGAGGCTGAAGGAGGGGGCGATCTAAGGACACAGATTCTGAAGGAAGCGTGTATGAAACACAAAGTTGATTCAAACAAACCGCACGCTTTGCTGACTCCGACGACGGAGCTCTCTGTGTGACTGAGGTGTTTGCAACGATGCAAACTGTTTTACCTCATGTCTGATTGGTGTGACCCAGTCTGCTATTCAACCCCATTAATATCCTCTCTGCTCAAACAATAGAGCAGAGCAAGTGAAAGGGGAGGGGGGTCCTCTTCACCACTGCCCGGCTTTATTCCGCTCCTTATAGCCGGCAGATGCCTGTCTGATGGTGTTTACAATAAAAGGCTTATTAAATCAGCCAGCCTGCAGGCGTCCACTGACTGCTCATCTGCACCGACCCTGACATTAATGTACATACACTCAGCTATTTCACTCTAACTTTACACCCACAGATCATCTGATCATTCTAGAGGAGGTCATCAAGTGCGTCCGCACGATGGCACTGTGCATGCTTTTAGTGCTGCTTCCTGTGATTTAATGTGTCTGCGCTACTACAATATGAAATTAAATGGCAAAAATAATTGTCTGTGACCAGGTTGTCCCCTATTGTCCATTATTTGGACAAAGAGCTAGTCCTGTCTCAAATTTACAGCATTGAAAGTTAACATACAAAACCACTCAAACAAGCATCACAGAGCCACAGTGTTTACACCTTTTGTGGAGGTTAACCTATAAACGGCTTACTGAAAGGAAACGTTTATCTAAAATTTCTGACATTATTTATAATATTCTGACACCCTGATGTCATTCACAACCTATAACATTTTCTTTCTTTCAAGGAACACAAGTCTTGTGAATGATTTACTAATTAGGAGTGTAGCAATCAAAAAATGCAAATTCAATGCATCATTTACTGAATTTAATAACTGATTAAAACAACTATAATGATGTACAATTATGTGTAAATGTATTACCCAAAAATACAATTTCAGAGCATGAAAAATGAACTGTACCAAAATAAATCATAAAATAAATAAAGAATCAAAGTCTGAGCAAATGTTTACAATCTTTTTACTTACAATCTTATGGATGTACAATACATAAACTTGGATAGAAGAAAATATTTTACAAAAGTTACCTTTTAGCAATATGACATACACTACTTTTCAAAGGTTTTGAGGCTTGTGACATTTTGTAAATGAATTTAAAAGAAGTTTCTTGTGCTCACCAAGGCTGCATTTATTTAAACAAAAACAGAAACAGTAATATTGTGAAGCATTACAATTTAAAACAGCTGCTTTCTTTTTTAGTATATTTTAAAAATGCAATTTATTCCTGTGATGGCGAACTTAAATTTTCAGCAGCCATTTCTCCAGACTTCAGTGTCATATGATCCTTTGGAAATCACTCTAATATGCTGATTTGGTGCTCAAGAAAAATTTATTTTAATTATCAATGTTGAAAACAGTTTTGTGGCTTAATATTTTTGTGGAAACAGTGATACTTTTTTCAATATTCTTTGATGAATAGAAACTTTTAAACTGTATTTTATGTCAAATGAATACCTTTATGAAAAAGATCAACTGTACCATAAAAATTGACTTTTTTAGTCACAAATACTTCAAAATATTGACATGCACAAGGTGAAGCCATGCTAAATTCAATACACCTACACCATCAGCCTTGTTCTTCGAACTAATATAACATGTTCCAGTCATTAAACGCTACACAGGATCCAGGCCCTAGTATTCCCTGATGGAAAAAGCTGTTTCCTCAAGCTCATTAGGAAGAGGATGCAAAGGATGTTTCTCAGAGAAGTGCAAGCTGTGTCTGGCTTCAGGACAGATCACCAGCTCTTTTAACAGGGTCTAATAAACATACACAGATGTGTGACATGTCTTCAAGCTAACCGATTCTTAGATGGTGTACTCACATGCGGTTGTGTAAATGATGTAACCATTACAAGGTTGATGGAGGGCAAAATGTGGTGCTAGAATCTGTAGTATGCATGTTTGAAGAAACCATTAAAACCGCCTTCCATGCAGCATGCTACGTTTATGTCAAATATTATGATGTGCTAGTCTATGTTACATATATGCACATCAGCATACATGTAACATATATGTAACATAACCAAATAATATAGCTTAGAACCGATCATCAGAATTTAATAACATTTTTTATCATTTTCAATGACACAAAACAGGCTAAACTCAATAAGACTGCAACACTCAAAGTGACACTTATTTCTAAATCTGCAAGCAGGCTGAAATTGTGAATAAAAATACTGCGCTGGTGAGTAAATGTGACAGAAACTATGTACTCCAGTGCAGGAGAAAATGTAGGTTAGCAGTCAGCTCCTCCCAAAGCTGTCACCCATCAACTCATGCCCCTCAAAGAGAACACAGCAAAGGAACATGTTTACAAGCAGGTTTGATGGACATGGCTGGCAAACCTCCAGCATCAAAATTGTATTTACAGGCATGTTGAGGTGAGATGACCTCAGCTGTAAAGAGCAATGCTTAGCCAAGATTGACATTAGATACAATACTGGGATCTCTTTAAACATGTGTAATTCTGTATACACCTTCAAGTTGCTAATAATTAGAGAAAATATTTAAATAAAATGTAAAAAGGTCTCATACAAATGATTTTAACAGGATTGTAAATTCTGCTCTGCAACAACCCTGATGAAAATGTGTAGCTTGCAAAATAGCCATGTGTAAAACCAGTGTAATTACCACATGTACCCCCATGGATAATGGGTACATCAAACTAAATATGGTTTCTATAAAAATGTATGATATGTTTTATGAAAAACAGTAGCTTAAAGCAATTATAAAAATATTTAGCTGTGACTAAATTTCAACAATTTTTATATTACTTTTAAGCAAATTCATTAGGACATATTTCACAAAATAAAATAAAATAAAATAAAAAATAACAGCTGAAACAAAGTAATATATTTGCCTTAAAAAAACACCAGTTTACATTCTCACCATTCTAAGGTTGAAAAACTGACAAAACATTTATTCTCACATCTAGCATCACTGGTTTTGTGGCCTGGGTTTGTCCGAGAGCTGTGCAATGATATTTTTTCCCCCTTTGCTAAGCCGCATTAGCTCAGTATTTGAGCATTAGCCAGAAACCTTAAACTAACTTGCAATGATTTATATACAACTTCCGTCTCCACAGAAACTGCCCGGAGCACGTCTGCGTGCTTCTGTACTGCGGTACACACCCTAACTGCTACAATTTCAACTTCTTGAACACTGCAGAAATTTTTTAGACATTCCAGCTAAACTATTTACCTGTCAATCGGCCAAAACAGACTGTCTTTTGTAAGACCTTGTGATAGACAAGGACTGGCTAAATGGGCAGCACAGACTCATTCATCACATGAGACTGATGTCTTTAAGACCCTGATGAGTCAGAGGACCATGAGAATTAATGACAATCTTGTTCAGAACATAAAAGAACAGATATGAAAGGAAGAACTTTAATTTCTTCAATCAATATATAAAGGTTTCTCTTGTTTACCATACCATAACAGAGGATAGAGCTGCAACCTGAAGGCCTGCAATTCCAGCTTGTCTTTCAAAGTTAAATTACATAAAATTAAGTCACATGTCTATGTCTTTAGGAAGGGGCTCTCAAAGTCAACACCCAATTCTTATGCATAGAAGCATGTGTAATAGAGCTTCAAGTGCAGTCGTGCAAGGGCACTCCACTATACTCATTTCCTTAAAGCTGAAAAATTTATAATGAGCCATTTTGGCATCATTCAGAAAAAGGATTACTGTTCTCAAATACAATACACAGCCAATATTTCGATGTACTTTAGCTCTCATTTGTTACAAGCCTGTTCCCTGGCAAAAGCTGCTAAGCTTTCACCTTCCACAAACTGTGTGCAAAATTCACAGTACTTTCCATTACAAAAATAACAGCAAACACTACTTTAACTTCTTCAAGATGCATAAATGGAGTTAAAAATAAATAATCTGATGGCTTTCAATCTGATTGACAGATTGCAAGTCGCGCATAGAATACAAGACACTACAGGTGAATAGGGTAAAATTTTAACTACTAGATATCACCATACTTTATAGCTGATTAATCACAGTACATTAAAACAACTCTTTTGTATTACAATTTTTCTGAAATGTTATATTTAAATACACAAATGAGGCACTTTATGATTAGATATGCACTCATCTGCACACATTTCTAGAACAGAAATCTAAACATTAGATTAAGCCAGGTTCAAAATTCTTGTTTTTTCTTGCTTGTTGTTTTGTTGACATGTAAGGGAGTTAAAGGTTTTACAGAGGAGATTTTAGATATTTCTTTTTATCACTCCATAATTCAGAACATAAAATCAGGAACAAAATGCTATATAAATCAGGCGAATGATATATAAACAAACTACTCTGCACAAACCTTACATTTGGGTGTACAGTATATACTGTACTGAAGTGGAGATTTCATTCACTTAGAGAAAACAGCCTTTAAAGATATATTTAATTGATAAGTACAGACGTAAATAGACAATAAACACTTAAATGTGTATTTTGGATGTTTTCTTTCCACTAGTCTGAAAGATGACAGATATGTTATGGAAGCAAAATAGCACAAAATCTTACATTTGACCAGTGCATGAAAAAACAGAGGTTTTGCCTGTAGCACCTTGCTTTAATACCCAAGAAAGAAAATCAAGAACCATTGATCATCCTAATTCACAAACACATTGCAAAACCAATGCAGAAATTTCACATTGCACACTGGGACTGAACCGAAGCTTTACATTCATATTTCTTACTCTACATTCAGAACACATAACTCAAACCACAGGAAGGGGGCAGAGGGATCAATACTTAAGGCTTCTAGTGCAGGCTCTCTTTCATTTTTATTGTCAAGCTGTATATCAATAACAGTTGATCAGAAGCAAGCCACTATGCCACTATCAAGCAGACGTTATATAAGGGTTTGTAAAGTGAGAAAATTTGTAATATGCTTAACACAGTTTAGCATAATCTTCAGTCTAATGAATAATTTAAATTAGTGGTAAACCTACAACAACCTATCAATATATAGGAAAAGAACAGACACTGACATTCAAAAATGTATATAAAATATGTATGCTTTTGATTATATATATGCATATATATCATCAAAACTGATAAAACTGCACACAGCCTATACTCTACACTCTAATAATACTGTATAATACAAACGCCCACATTTCTGTGTCTACTTAGCAGAGAAATGACATACTAAATATTTTGTGGCCACAATGATGCAGAACGTAATAATTTAGCTCTTTCTGCAGGGATTCGGTATCATGACAGGCTGTATTTGAGGAAAAACGAGGAAAGAGGAAGGGTGGCAGGAAAAGGATAATGATCCTCTCCCATGTCTTCTCCAGCGATACATTACACTCCCTGTCAGTGACCTTGAAACACATCAGCTTCAGAGCGCCAGATCCCAAACCACATATGTGTGCGTTTCAACAATTTAAAGGAAGGAACAGTGTCTTCCTGATTCGTAAGCTTCATATCTGTGCTCGTAGGGATTTACAAATGGCTTAGGACTGTGTTTCATAGTTTCAGATCTTTATGTTAGGTTTTGACACAAAAATGTACAGCCGTAGTCAAGAGATGACACAACAGGAGAATGATCATATACTGTAGCTAGTTTTATCCAGAGATACGGGTGAGACATTTTACTACGCCACCTGCATAAAGATGCAAAGAGGACATCTGGAATAGGTCGAGCAATGGAGAAGAACCTCCCTCTGATGTCCTTTCATGGGTGACAACATTAATCTCATCCTGCTCCTCTGCAGTGGTTGCTTGGGTTTCATCCAGGGAGAAAAACTGAGGGGCCCAAAGAAAGTGCCTGCATCTTGGTTGATGTAAGAGAAACTAAAGCAATGGAATCAAAGAAGGTTTTCGGCTCCTAATGACCCAGATTCTGAAGCATATTAAAATGTGACTACTATGAAGCTTAAAAACAGACAACGTCTCTATCAATCTACTATTTTCCCATCACTAGCACTATCGCGAATAGTACCACTTTTATTATTTCCTCAAAAAAATCCCTTGATTCAGTTTCCCATCCTTTAATAAAAAAACTATGTGAAGCAACCGTTTCTTTCTTCTCCAAACTGTTGCGCAGCCAAACTGTTTTTATTCTTGGCCAGAGAGTCAGCGTTTCCATGGTGCATGGCAGGACACAGCGGGTGAGAGCTCCATTCAGAGGGAGAGCCAGAAAAATAGAGAAGGAAAAATAAAGAGAGAGAGAGATTGAGAGACATTATACTCACAGTATACAGCTCGTTTGTCACTTTCACCAGCTCCTCGTGCATCTGAATGCCAATTTCTTTACTCTGCAACACACACACAAATTTAAAAAATGGGTCATAAATTAATCAAACTCTAAACTCTACATTATAGATTAGAATATATTCAAAAACAACAATAAAAAAAGGACAGAAACATCTAGAAACATTAAAACCTCATTTCCTATTTGCTAGACAACTAGTATTACTCATTCAGTTTAGGGCTGCAACAAACAATTATTTTGATAATAGATTAATCTAACGATTATTAGAACGATTAATCGACTAATCATCGATTATTTAACTGATTAATCAGTAGACATTTATTGGTTATTCAGCTTTTGCAGTTAGTTAAAATATTTAGTTATACATATTCTAACAAATAAATTAAGGTAATCACTTCAGCTTTTGAAAGTCATATTATGTAATTACAATTATACAATTAATTTATACAAATAAATATATTTTGCACACAAAATGAGATGACAGAGAAACTCTCTTATTCACCATTTATTTAGCTATATGAAAAAGTAACTGAATGACACATCATTCTGCCTAACATCTCCTTTTGTAAGTCATATGGATAAGAAACAAAATAAAGGTAAGTGATAAGATGTTTAATTTTTTTCATACTGTGTTCATTTTACTTGTGCAGCTCTTAAAATGGGTCATAAATTGCCTTAAATTTATTTTTTAAAATTCTGCTGATACCCTGTAAATAGTGAAATAAAATTCCTTCCTTCATATTTGTTGATATTTGTGTATTGAAAATATTTTTGATTGACATTTAAACTCCTATCTGATTTTCTATATATATATATATATTTTTTTAAAAAGGTCTTTTTTTATTTGGGTTAATTAAATTAATTTTCGGGCTACCAAAATCTGAAGAGTTCCTGCCCAAAGGGCTACCAGGGATTTTGAAATTTTGCGAGCCCTGTGCAGCCTCTGTTGGCTTTCCTTGGCAGTTAACCTGAATGATCAAACGACTACTCGACAACAAAAATATTTGTCGACAGTTTTTTTATTGTCGACGTTGTCGATAATGTCGACTAATCGTTTTACCAAACCTGAACCCTAATTCAGTTCCATTTATAACTTTACAACCACATGTTTTTTGATGGTGTCATATTAAAGATGTTGTTTTCTCATTTTTATAGACTGGTAATATGTGTCACAAATATCAGCTCTTTTTTATAACCTGCCAAGCATCACAAACATACTTGACCGACATCCAAAATTCAAGCTTACATGGCAAATGAAAGCAATTTTTTTATTTGACTTTTTTACGGTTGTGTTTGAAAGTGTTCAGAATAACATACTTTCACACTACTCTAATAGTATTTCTGCAGTAGGCTATGCGGTATACTGCAGTAAGAATTTTTTATTCATGGAATATTCAGATGAAATACCTACTACATAAATAAAGCATACTGCACACTATATCCTGAATTTCCATTCCAAGTGAGGCAAATAAACTGAAAGTAATATTAGTAATATTATTTTTTTTACCGTTGTCTTCACATTTCTATTGTTTCAAACAACAATATTTGCTTAAAAATGCAAAAAAACAAAACAAAAAAACCCCATTAAAAAACGATTTTTTTTTCAGTAGCTTGGTTTGACAGAGATGACTATGAGTGAATATTTATGGTTTCAGTACTCGTTGATTGATTTTTGACTGTTTAATTGGATGTTCTATCATCATCAGGCTGGAGGCTTCATGTTTCTCATTGCTGTATGGTGACCACACAATATTGCCGCAAAATGCCAAAAAGGCTCATGTTTTCAGTCGATCGATAATTTGATACAATGCTTTTCAAATAACCAATGCAGCATCATTTCCTGCATTTCTGTAAACAGTGGTTCAGACAGGGACCAGGCTGATTCAGATATTCTGACTGTGACACTGAAAACTGCTTATGCATTCCTGTGGGAAAATAATAATTTAATAATGCTATAAACAAGTTAACGGGAAAGAAGACAACTCTAGAGGAGAAAAACATTTCATACCTCCTCCCACACAGCATAGCTGCTCCTGCTTACATGCACACGTACACACACCTGCTGCCGTGTGAGCCGAGAAAATGCACTGTGTTTAACTCTAAAGTCAGTGACACAATCTGGCAGAAATCGGAGGGCAAGAACTCCAAAAAAGCTGGAAAATGTTCACTGCAACCACAAGTTTTTTCATTAAGCACAAAAGACAGAGACCGGCCTAGATAGACACATTCAGACACAAAATACGTCTGGTAAAACTCCCATGCCGACAGAATCTGCAGGTACGAGCATCACCTTTCCTGTCAACAGTTCAAAAGCTGTGCGTAGGAATGGTGCATTTCTCTGAGGAGAATTTAAAAAAAAAAGGAATCAGATGACAAAACAATCCATAATACAATAAGGAAACAAAACAAAATGATATCAAAAAGCACGTAAACTAATTTTTCTAAAGTGACATCTGTGCAAGAACAGTGTTGACTGAAACTAAAACTATTAAAAAATAGATTTCGGGAATTGAAATAAAGCTGAAAAAATACTAATATTAGTTGAAAAATGTAAACTTAAAAAAAAAAAGTTAGAAATGTTGCCTTGGCAGCTAACTGAAATAAGCAGTACAAATTACTAAATCTAACTGAAATAAAAAATAAAACTAACCAGAAATATTGGACAAAACAAAAAAGCACATAACGAAATTACTAATACTGTAATAGTATATAAATAATACTAAAATAACACTACATCACACACTACTGGAATGAAACATTTTGTGATATTTTGATGCAATAGAGAGCTGTCATACTTTAAAAAAGAACGCGTGAGCTTGATCCCAGTCTGTTTGAATGAATTACCCCAGTAGCCCTCCAGAGCCCTTTTATGTTCGTAAAGCATAATGGACCATAATTCCCAGCGATCAATAAAGGCTACAGCATGTGTATAGTCAGGCCTGTGCTTAGGGATCAAAAATAATCTCTCTCTACACATGAATGTGTACATACACATACACACTTATCCCTGCAACCAATTTACACATCTAATCATCCATGCTAATGGGATAAGCACCTCACAATATTTCATGCATATGTGTTGATTTTGTTTTTAGGAAACATGTAGACTCAATACAGCACAACAACTGATGAAAGAGATGAAATGCCTGATTGAAAAAATGTTGTCCAGCAAATCATATAAATACATAATCACTGCTCAAGAGACTAAGTACAGAACTACAAAAATACATTTGAAATAATTTGATGAGAAATATTTATATTTAGGGATGTATCAATATTTATATAAAAATTATACTATTATATTATACATTACATAAAAATATTTGAATAAACAATTTTATGTTATTGCAGACAACCAATAAAATGTCCAATATTCCAATTTCCTACTATTTTGTAAATTAAGTAAATTAAAAATAAAACAAAAACTAAAATTAAGGATTTGCTATAAGTGACTTTATTAGTGTTTTTAAAGGTTCATTATAAGTAGTATTGTTAGTAAATATTAGTTTTTAAACATAAATAAAATAAAAAATAAAAACACAAATAAAATCAAATGTATATCAATACTAATAAATAAATAGATAAATAGACAAACAAACAAATAAATAAATAAAAATGTTTAAACTAATTTAATAAATGCCTTGATCACATGTTGAGTGAAAAAAAAAACATGAAATTATCACCATGGGAAAATTGCATAACAAGACAGGACATTACATCTTAATGAGGTGTTCCCTTTTTCTTTATCTTCTCACAAACCCACTGCAAATTCATGCTTTTACAGAGCCAAAACAGGCATTATTAAACGGCCCATGGGGATTGAGAATCAGTGTTACAGCATACATCACATTCACAGCAGAGAATATATGGCAACAGCTCTCAGTGGAAACCTCTGATGCAATATTATGAAAGAGCCAAAGCCACTGACACACTGCAGTCTCTTGCCGCTGGTAACACTAGCGTAAGACCGTTCAAAGTGCTGTCAAGCTACAGTACATGTTTCCCAGCTGTCTTTGCTGCTCATTCATCCTCATCCGACCCACCAGCGAAGCGTTCTGCTGACCTCAGGTGTATGTTTTTCATCTCTCTGTGTGCTGGAATCCTCTGACATGGACAAAACTGCTGTAAGTGTCTACTAACTGCTACTGAACGTCTTAAACACATAATTAAAGAAAAAGTTAAAATAAGAGCTTAAGGATGTAAGGAAGGCTATTCATTATCATTCCAGACGGCAGACTCATGTTGCTAGACTGGTGATTCTCAACTGCTTTGGTTTTTACACTGGACATCAAGCAGTGATCCAACTGTATAAGAGCACCAAAAGTAATCAAAAATGTCGTTTTATGAACTGTGAATATGTTTTATTGCCACAGTGTTGTAAAGATGATTATAAAATATCAACTTTTTAAAATCGGTTCATTTTAGTGAATCAAAAGTACACTGTACAACACAACAAGAGTTGTTCCATTCATGAACAAGTATTGTATTATTGTACATTTGCAGTATTGTATGTTAATTTTATGCATACACTCATGAACCTGAGTGGAAATTTTGTTCTCATGTGTCAACATGTAGGCTATAGAATGACAATAAAATGAACTGAACTGAACTGAACTGAACTGAAATGATTCTTTTGAGCCAGTCATTTTAATAAATCATTTAAAAACACTCACATATTAAGTGAAGTGTTTATGAGTTTAGATTTTTATAATCATTTTACTAGTCATAATAGTTTGACACTAGAAATGCAATTTAAAGGTTTCTTCATTTTATATCCACATATTAATAATATTTATGATTATTGGTGATAATATTTGTAAAAATAATGAATGGCGTTCATATTATATAAGTTATTTTTGCTCTCTGTATACTAAGAACATTAGCTGGGAGAGAAGTTGTTTTAAAGCAAAATGGACATTCTAACTGTAAAATGCCTAAATTATAAAAAATTTAATCAAACTAAATTGTGATCTGAATCAGATAAAAAAAAAATAGAAGTGAATTGGAATCAAATAACCTGTAAATCTGTAAAGATAAGCAGTCCTGTTAATAAATACGAGCCTGTCACATCACAGCAGCATTCATGCATGCATTCATACAGAGTAAGGTATCTTAGGTGACCTTGAGTACACACACTGCAAGCAATTAACAGTTTCCCAGGGTGCTCTGGGTGTGTTTTATCGGTTCACAGTCACCTCACTGAACCACTTTCCTATGAATGGCGGCTGGAAGCACAGGGCCTCACCTACAGGAAAAGCAGCCAGGTGTAAACACACTAGTAGTGTTTGGATTACACCACAGGAATCCAGGCTATGTGTTGACAGTGTTCCAACTCATATAGTCCAGACCCCATAAGTCACACCACAGAGAATACAGCCAGTGGCGGCACTCCTCGCCACAGTATGACTTTAACTCGGAGAGGAGGTGCATAAATAGGCTGTAGTCACACTGTGAGACAGCATGCATTTAGACATGCACATTCATTTTGTCGCATACCATCCATACACACCGTCTGCAAGCATTTAAAATCAGCCTAAAATTCCAACAGTACAGCTAAAACAAGAAAGCAGGAGGTAGACAGTGCTGTGCTAAGAAAAATGTCTGCCAAGAAATTGCATGCAAATGTATGAAGTCAACTGGCTGTGTGAAAGAATACATAATGATTTTGGAGTGGGTGTTATGATTTTCCACATTTGGAAAGGTTCAGTGTTTCCTATGGAAGATTTGCGACTTTTTAATTGCACAATTCAGACTTTTTTTTCTTGCAATTCTGAGTTTATTTAACACTTTTTTTTCGCAATTCCTAGAAAAGTGTGAGATATGAAGTCATAATTGTGAGATATAAACTCAGAAATGTGAGATTTAAATGTGCAATTCTGAGAAAAAAGTAGGCATTGTGAGATATAAGCTTGCAAATGTGAGAAAAAAGTCAGAAATGAGAGATAAAAAGTGGCCTTTTTTATTTTTATTCTGTTGTGGAAACTAAACAGTGAGATGTAAAAAAAAAATAAAAAAATTGCGAGATGTAAACTCATATTTCAGAGAAAAGTCACAATTGTGTGATATAAATTAGGAAATGCAGGAATTCTGACTTTTTTCTCAGAATTGCAAGAAAAAAGCCAGAAATAAAGTCAAAATTGCATGGCGGAAACAAGCTTTCATAGTCTCCGGTATGTTTACTGCAAGAAAACATTTTGTGCAGTCCTAAAAGTCACAATAGACCTAAAAAATAAATGACTCATCTCGTTTTCATGGATGTATACAAATTTATACGCAATTAAAATATGCATACAATACTGAATCCCACAATGCAATGCATTTGATCTATTTTTAATCCAATTTTGTATTAAAAAAAAAAATTCTTGGCACTTAAAAGTCTGATCAAATAGTGAATATTAACACAGAGGTTTCTGTTAGCTAAAAGTGGACATGAGATTATCATGGTATTTAAATGGATGTGAGAAGAAAAAGCTTACAGTCAAAGCTACAGACCTTTTTGAAGAGCCGGATGACGTCCTCGCTGATCTGAGCCAGGCGAACAATGACATTATTAATGTAGATGTCATTAAGTGTGGCATGATCTCTGCTTTCTCTTCGAGTCTGGTTCAAAACCAGATACCAGCAGTTTACTGAAGAGAGGAGGTGTTGTTCTTTCCTGGAAGGACAGAGAAAAGGATAATAATTATCGAATATCGCATTTTTTAACAAGGTATCGCATATCGCATTTTTCTTCAATATCGCACAGCCCTAATAATGTTAAATACTGTGATAAGTTGGCTTGCTTGCGTTTTTCATCCCTTCCCACTGAAATGTTTGGCTTGTTCTCCAAATAACATTTCATCTTCCCATAATTGTCAGATTGTCAGACGAAATTCACGAAAAGATGAAAGAAGATATTTTGAAAAATTGTTGGTAACCAAACAGTTGACGATAGCCATTGACTTACATAGTACGGAAAAAAAATACTATGAAAGTCAAGCGCTACTGTCAACTTTTTTTTTCAAAAATATCTTCTTTTGTGCACAACAGAAGATAGAACCTCATACAGGTTTGGAACAACTTGAGGGTGAGTAAATAATAACAGAATTTTCATTATTGGGTGAACTATCCCTTTAAGTCTCCAATACCACACATACAGTACTCAGCACCTGACAGTAAACTGATCACTTAATACCTTAACACTGCTAAAAATAATATGCCGAGACAGAAATCGTCCTAGCTTGAACTTAATCAGCTTTTGGGACCATAAGCTTGTGTTCTGTGCTAACCCTTCACTTCTTTTCTTAGTCCTATCTTCTAAACCAATCAACAAGCTGAAGAACGGGGAATGCAGAAATAAATAACTGAGAGTTGAGAGTACTGAAAGCCGAGAGATAGCAGGATGAGGCTTTGGATAAACGACACAAGGAGCAAAGGCAATTACTTTAGAGAGTATTTGGACTAAGGGGAGAACATCAAAGTGTGGCCTCTTGCAAGAGTTAGTGAAATGCTAATCGCTGCTAATGAAGAACGTATATCTCCCTGCTGCATGTGGTGAACGTTATTAGCCCTGTAATCTGCCCTCAAATGAGGATAAAGAGTAAACAAAGAAGCATATGCCAAGGGGTTACTTTTAAAAACACAACTTTATTGAGCAGGAAATCAGCATATTAGAATGATTTCTGAAGGATCATGTGACACTGAAGACTGGAGTAATGATGCTGAAAGTGCATGCAGCTTTGCCATTACAGAAATAAATCACATTTTAAAATATATTAAAATAGTAAACAGGTAGTTTGAATTGGAATAATATTTCAGAATTTTACTGAATGATCACCATTATTGATATACTATGATATTTAAATTCATTTATCAAAAATTCCATGATATTACCATAATAAAATCAACAACAACAAAAAAGTATTACCACGGCATAAGTCCAAGAAACATGGTAAAACAAGGTACAACGCATTTAATTAGTTTCAGCCCTAGAGATATGTATTTCAAGATTAAAATTTGCTGGTTTGGAAATAATCTGATCCACTGTGCTGTGGATTCTCAGTAAAAATATATGAGAATGTCATATGACTTGCAAAACACAAATGAATAAGTAGCACTGTCTGTTCATGCATAGATTCCTCTTAAAAATAAACTTTATATGCAGAAGATATGAACTGCATTTACAAGAATGAGGAACAGGAAGAGGAAGGAGTGTAATGCAATGTGCCAGATCACACAGATGCCGCAGCAAGTCCCACAGAGAGAGCTGAAAGACGAACAGCTCAAAGTGTGGCTGTGCAAAATGATCAAATTTTTTATTTTTTTTGCCCCTGCTTTTGAAACTGGCAATTGTAGCACTAGGCCATAGGCTAGATCTCTACAATAGATTAGAAATCGCCTTATTTCATCCAAAACTGCGGAAAGACATTCTCTGGCCTTTTTCTTTTATTCTCATTTTGAATTTTTTTCAATATTCAGAAAATAGATCAAAAGCACTGCTCCGACTCTACAATCAAGGCCTGAAAAAAGGATCACATGATTCATAATCACATTTCTCCAATTGCTTTTTTCAGTGTTCATGGTACATGGTCCACAATCCATACAAAGAGCCAAAGATCACATAAAACTCTAAATTTAATTACAAAGGCTTTGAAACAAGAGTGCAATGCTCTGAGGCTCTCACATACTTATGTTTTCTTTATGCTATGTGTAGTTAAAATGGGTTTGGGTAGAGACAATGAACATCCAGCTAACGTTGGAGATCAAAAACTGGTTGTAAATCTGCTCGTTCCATTTTAAAAAGTAAATACTAAAACATATTATTTTCACAATGCTACTAAAACAGTTCTGTTAAAATTACTGATTCAAAAAGACTCATGAATCAGCATTCTCATTAGTATGTATGAATAAGTCTAAATCACTCAAAGAGGCTCTTGATTTACTGAACTGTTTACTGAATTAACTGCAAGTCATTATATTCATCATGTTCTCAAAGTACTACAAGAATCATAAATAGAATAGTTAGGAATCAGAATTATTAGATTCTAAAGTCTAAAATGAACACAAACTCAAAGACAACAACAAAAGCACAAATCTTTACAGAAACCCTGACCACATGTACAATTTCCTTCCATAAATACAATATGTATCTGCCAATGAAAAGCCATTTTCAGCTTATAAATATATAGTCAGCTGTTTTAACACACAACAGCCGCCTTGGGACAACTATACACCGAGCTGTGCTGTGATTGTTTGTGACAGGAGACAGGGGCTTCTGGAATTTGGTGATATCCTTTTTGTGGGCCGCTTCAGTCCTCAGAAAGCCTCTGGCACAATAACACTATTTAAATAAAGTTCTTATCATAGCTTGGCTGTAAACACTTGCCTGTGACGTTTTTTTCCCCCACAATTTTTAAGTTGCATGGATTTGTTTAATCATTTAGTACATTTGTAGTAGGACATTCAAAAGCAAACACAACAGTTTTTCACCCTCATGTGTTCCACAGAAGAAAGAAAAACATGAAAGTGAGTAGATGATGACAAAATGTTCATTTTTAGGTAAATGATTGCTACAAATGAAAGCACTTGAAAACTAAAAGATATGTCTCTCATTGTTTCACATCACTCTAGACGCAAAATCTACCAGGTTTACTGCAGTTCCTCACACATAAATACAAACACACATGATAAGCAGCTTCAATCGAGCGCATGGCTGCCATTGATCCACAAAACGGACTGATCCTCAGAGGTTTCCAGTCAGAATGCATATGCATATGTAACATGTACATACATAAAAAGTGATAAGTTTTATGTGTATTATTGTGTCTTTTTTAAAGCTACGCAAGAGATCTAAAGATCTCTAATCCTATGCTAAGAAGCGATAATAAGCAGTTATCCGTATTGTACTCAAAAACACCCACGCAGAGTATGAGTAGGGTTCAAAATCACTTCACACTTAGCTTCATTATAGCAACACAAGCCATAAAACCCAATCATACAATCACACTCACCGCCTGCCACAATATTCATTCAAGAAAGTGTTTTTTTATGTGCCAAGCCCGATACAGCTTTATCAAAGAGCTTTTAATCCAGTCTGGGGTGGCTTGCTCAAGCTTATCTCCTGACGGAAAAGCAGAGGAAGGAATCAAGTGCCAAATCAGGAACTGTAGTGGAAACAGAAACGGGTGCACACGCTCCCCAATTCAAATGCATTTCCGCCTTTTAAGTAAGCTTCAATAAATTGCAATTGCACATTTGTCGCTGGCCCCCAATGTATGATTGCTCCCAGCTGTAGATCCATGAGAGCACTGGAAAAGAGAGAGAGGAGAAAATTTCATCTGAGCACTGAATGGTAGGACAAGGATTAACTCAAAAGCTCATTGCTGATGATTCTGACCTCATTAATCTTACATTATTAGCCATATACAGGGAACCTAAACCAAAAGATCTGAACAGAATGTGTTCGACCAGCCTTGAACGTTTAATTTGGACTCGACTTTAAAGGAATAGTGAATTCTGTCATCTTTTATTCTCCCTCATGTCATTCCAAACCTGTATGACTCGCTTTCTTCTGTCAAGACACACAAGATAACATTTTTGAAGAATATTCTCGCCACTTTTAAATTTTTTTTTTTTATACATAATGAAAGTGAGCGAGGACTGGGTCCGTCAAAATCCAAAACAACAACAAAACATGCTATATATACACATTTCTGTCATGACAACTCTCGGAGGGATTGGCATGGTAATGTACATGACAATGTTAATGCATTTGGTCTTGGCGGAATAGATCTGCTACGCTGCTGCTGCTGCGGCAGAGCAAGTACCGAGACTGTGAGCATGTAAGAAATACTGCTGCTGCAAATATAACATACATGAAATAACCCCTATATAGCATACATGAATCACCTCGTAGCAGATCTATACAGGTGGAGCTGGGGAAGGTGGAGGGTTTCTGAAGCACGCTTCAACTGCTACAGCAAGCACTAGTCATATATTTGAATGTTGAGCAGCGAGCTCATTGGCTACTGATACAGGAGAGAACCAATCAGCTGTGCCATGTGATAATGATGTCATTAGGTCAGATTGAGTTAGACCTATAGGACTGCGCCATCTAGAGTTTCATGCCAGAACTCTGTATATATGTGTCTTGCATCTTAATGTGTCTGCATATGCATCTTAATGTCAGAACTTGATCTATCTCAAGTTCACATTCATTTCTGAGTGCAACGCCCACATCTCAAAATCCAATCAACAACCCATGGATAGAATCAAGTCCAGCCCTACATTTTTTGTTTTTTAGTAATCTTTGCACTCATATGTACATCACAATATGGTACAATATGGCTACTTCCGACGCATCACAACTTTAATAGGCCACTGGAGCGAAACATAATTGTGAATATCTTTCAGTCTGTTGGCTACGCACAACTACAGTATAACTTAAAAAACAGCGTATGCATTATATGAACAAATTTTATTGTGCTTTATGGGTTCTGGCATCCTTTTTGAAACTTGAAAGCACTAGTAATTGCATGGAAAAGACCAGTAAATTATTCTTGTTTTGTGCTCTACAGATGAAAGAAAGTCACACGAGTTTGGATTGCCATGCGTATGAGTAAATGATCTTTCATATTTGGATGAACTTATCCTTTAATGTCTAAGTCGGAGAGATTCACTTTCCCAGCACACATGATCCCAAGGGCTTTGGCACGCTCTCTGAGAGGCTTGGCAGTGAGTGAATGAAGGCCGGAGGTGGAAGGCAGGTGCTGCTGTGCGAGGAGCGGAATGCAGCAGGAACGTACCGCAGGGCAGTTTGATTTCAGGCTCCTGTCCAATAGGCTGCAGCAAATGTAGTCTGCATGCTGCCATATACACACCAGAGCTGCATCTCACCCCAAAACCTCATCACTTTCATACATTACGCTTATACTAACCAAAACACATCTTTAAAGGCAGCTATAAATTAATAAATAGAAGTAAGAGTGAAGACCAATCAGTAAAATAACATCACCATTGATGGTCTGCCATACTGTTTGATGATTGTAGCAATGGTCAAAAAAAGTCCTGGCAGACTATGGGCACTGCTTTGTCCCAAAGGCAAGTGCATGAAATCCATGTATATCCTATAACAATCTGTGTGGATTTATATATTAATGAGGTTATGAATTATTACTGAATGAATAAATGCCACATCACTATGATCAGCATGTATAAAATATTTAATATAAATTACTAATGGGTTAATATGTTGTACGGATTAATAGACAGGCTATAGTGAATCACATTACATGAGATCTGTGTAAATTAGAACTGATTAAATAAGCTTGTCACCTAATCAAGGGAACATACTTAACCATAAATATCAGTGACTACATTTACATGCACTTAATTTTAATATTCCAGTTTATATGCTCAGTAGACTTTGGAATACTTAGATATGCGTTCATGTTCCTCTACAGGAAGTACTGAAGACATCCTCTCTGGTTATTAATTACATTGCATTTTAGTAATTTAGAATAGTATTTTAAATCAACTCATTGAATTCTTCTTATTCATGTCACTGCAATAGCAGCAGTATTATTTTTTAATTTTTTAGATATTATTTTTATTAATATTTTGAATTTGTTTTATATATATACAGTATATACTGTATATATATATATATATATATATACTGTATATATTCTTGTATTTTTTGTCCATGTGGTTTTTATTCACTTTTATTTCAGTTATTTTAGAACATCAAATTCAACTAAATGAAAATGAGAAATGTTGCCTTGGCTACTAGCTAAAATAAAATAAAATAATATTTATGTTTTTTGTTTTAGTTTTAGTTAACTATAATAACAGCACAAATGAGTTTAATTAAGAACAACAAGTAAAATAAAAAATAATTGACATAACAAAATTCTGATTAATGTAGCAATAATCATGTGCATGTAAATTTCACTGAAACATCTGGCAGAAATAGACCTAATTGATAATACATAATAGCAGATGCTTCATACACAAGAATGTCTTTTCAACTCTTCTTTAGGTCAATTCATTGTACTTTGTCCTAAGCAAAATGAAAATTGAAATATTCGCTTTGTGAATGCATGCAAACATCACAAGTTGGATGCCCTCAATGCATGCCTTTCTTCAACCTAGCAAAACAACCTAGTGGTCACAGTTTAAATTACTTTCCATCAGCCAAGCCACCCTGCAAAATATACGCAGAAGCCTTGACCCTCATTCATGTATACCTTAGAAGTAATCTATGGCTGCTTTAATGCACAGAGACAGAGCTGAAATGCAGAGCAGATTGGATTAGTATTCAGGTACTGTGTGTTGCAAGTCTCAGCACCAATACGCTGCAATAACAACACATGCAGGCCAGAGAATGTGGCAAGATAAGAACAGGAAATAGGGTGAAAAAAAAAGCTAAACATGTGCAAACACACACAAGCACACAGACTTTGTGTTTTGACTGGTAAAGCCCAGCATGGATGACAAGTCTGCTTTGTGGAGATAGGAAAAGGTATTTGAGACACACGGACACAAACACACAAACGGCCATTAACCACACTATTGTAGACACCTTCTTATCTCCTCTAGACACATCATGGTCTGTCTAGAACTACATAAGTTGAAGATAGTTGGGGTTCTTTTATGCAGGAATTTTTACCTTATAAATAAAGAGATAAAAAAGTAGGTGTAAATTAAATAACTTAATATGTTTAATCTTGCAAAACCTGTAAAATCTTACTTGTCTATGCATAAAGATAATAAATAAATTTACTGAAGGATATATTGTAGCTGCATTTGGTTGCTGTGGGCAGTCGAAGCAAAATAGAGGAAGACATAATTGTGCATACAGTGAATCTCAGGCAGACGTTTTCTTACGTAGTTTGCATTAAATTGAACAAAAGTGACAGTAAAGACATTTTTTCTACTCTCTACTTTTCTACTTTCTAGAAAAAGGTGTATTTTATACATTTATACAGTTTTCACATAAATATTAAGCAGTTATCATAATCGATAATAAAAAGATATGTTAATTGAGCACCAAATCAGCACATTAGATTTCTGAAAGATCATGTGACACTGACACAAAAATTCAGCTTTGCCATCACAGAAATAAATTCAATTTTATAATAAACTAGATATATTAAAATAGAAATCAGTTATTTTAAATTGTAATACTATTTCAGAATATTACGGTTTTTACTGTGTTTCTATTCAAATAAATGTAGCCTAAGTGAGCATATGACCCTTTTAAAACATTTATTTATTTATTTTTTATCAAAAAAGAAAGTGCATGAGTCTATCGCTCCACTGAAAAGACAAAAGTTTGTTGTCGAAGTATGCAATTGTTTGCGTCTGCATTTGTGTGTGCTTGTTTCTTAGCATGAGTCAGCTGATGTTGCTGTGAGGCTTGCATCAGCAAAACTAGAACCCAAAAGCTGACAAAATATCAGAGAAAAGAGGAAGGAAAAAAAGTACAAAAACAGAAACAACTACAGAGAATGACAAGGCCAGACGCAGGGCCAGGAGAGCAGCAGCCATTGGCGCTGCCGTTCCTCATTGCTGTCTGCAGTAATGTAGTCAATGGTGCAGTGAGACTGGCCCCAGGAGCAAGCAGCAGACGGCCCTCCTCCACCAGCTGCTATTAATTAAACCCCACCAATCCTGCTGCAATACACTCGCAAAACAAACCTACCAACAGTACATTCGTCAGAACTTTCGTAAAGTCAAACTCCAAATATCTAAAAGAGGTTTTCACCTCTTAAAATTGATAGATTCACTTTTGTCCCATTCCCAGAAAAAGATGAGATCTATCTCAAGCTCTCAGAATGCATTTCTTTAGCCATATTAGAGCTAGCATTTATTTTTCACAGCCCACTATGACCAATTGAGGTCTTGTTAGCAGAAGCTTTACTGCAGACACAGAATCCAATGTTGGCTTGATGCCACATGAGCCAATAATCAGTGATCTCATGCACGCAAGTGAGAACAGTAGTCTTATACTGCATTACTGAAATGTTTTTACAACATAAATATACTATGGCTTTCTAAGCTAAATTAGTTACTATTGCCATTATGGTCAACTGAATCAACATATGTATTCTATAAAATGCTGTTCATTCTGCAAAAACTTAAAGGGATAGTTCCCACAAATTCTGTTATCATTCTATGGAACACAAAAGAAGATATTTTGTACAATGTTTAAACTGTTTTTGTCCAGATAATGAAAGTCAATGGAGTCCAAAACACTACTAGACACCACTGACATTTTGCAATATTCTTTTGTGTTGCATAGAAGATTTATAGGTTTGGAACAACATGAGCATAAGTAAATGATAGAATTTAAATTTTTGGATGAACTATCCCTTTAAATTTGAAAGAGCAAAAGGTTTGTCTGATAAGGAGAGTTGCTCAGGTAGTTGGGTTAGCAAAGGGTCAATTAGTCTAGAAATTGGAGGAATTAACTGTCTATCCTGGAGTAGCATGAAGCAAAACTAAGTTTTCTTTTGAGGGAACACTTAATTCAAAAGGCTATTTAATTTAAATGAACAGCTAAAGATAACATCCTGATGCATTAAACGCTACGGGCATTTAACAACTTCTTAAAACTTTGTTGAAAGTTTTGCTTGAATGAGAAGCAACCCTTGTCTGAAGGATGATTATATCCAACAGCAGGAGAGAGATTTCAAATTCACCAGCAGCTATTTCTGCTCTGATAGAAGGAGCACTGAGACAAATGGTGAAACAGACGGAGAAATGAAGAGGAGATATAATCTGGCATGCACAATTAAAGGAACGGTTCACCAAAAACTGAGAGTTCTGTCATCATGTACTTACAATCATAATGTTTGAAACCTGTATGGTGCCATTTTTTTCCATCAAGCACAAAATGGACATTTCTTCGTAGAAATGTATGTAGCTATTTTTAATACAACCGTAGTTCATGGTGACCACAACTTTCAAGCCCAAAAAGGACCAACATTCTTCATAGAAGTATCACAGAAGTAGTCCATACTACTTGTCTGCTATATTCTGAAGCCATACAATGTATTTATGTGAGAAACATTCATTTTTTACTGATAACTTCTGTAGTGTTTTTTGGCAAGAGCTGCTAAAAGTTTTATCAGGCATTTCTACTTTTGTGTTTTCTAAGGGGAAAAAACAAGGAAAATAAAAATTGAATTACAGAATTTTTTGGGTGAACTAGTATTCACACTTGCACATATCAATAAAGCCTCACCTTGGGCCGCGAATCTTTGATGAGAACCTTTCAGCCAGTTTCTCCAGACTGCGAGAATACTCCAGTTGAATCTCGGCTTTGCGCCGAAAAAACTCCTGCAGGTCCTGCAACAGCTGGATCCGAGCCTCTGATTGCTGCTCCAGGCACTTGAACTGCTCCACCAACTGATTACGGATCTCTGAGCAACAGAGTAGACATAAACACATTAGTTTGACTCAGCACAATTCTGGACAAAATGCATATACAAAGTAGGGCTGCACGATAAATCGCATGCGATATTTAACGCGCATCTTGTCAGAAAGCCGGTTCTGTAATCAGCGGTAAATCTCCATCACGTGCGTGCTTTCACATTGAGCAGCATTAACTACACAGAGCCGTTGTTCACTGACGAGCTGCGCAAAACCACGTTCATATTCGCGCGATTTTTTGCGCAGCTCGTCAGTGAACAACGGCTATACAAAGCTAGTTAGATTCAGATGTACTTTCTCTTCACAAATAGGCCGAATCCATGATTTAATCCATACAGCTACTGACTAAAGAATTTCCATGATTATTACAAATAATCAATTACAAATTTTGGGAGCGCTTTTGTATTCCTTACACACATGGAACTATCATTTAAGTTGCTTGCAAAACTTTTTTAGTGTGTGTACGTGGCCAGAATATATTCCATCATCCCAGAGTATACAGTATATACATCCAATGTAGATACGAAGGAAAACAATCTACCAGGAAATCTGTGTGCAAACTGGTAAAGGCAAATGGAGAAATATATATTTGGCACATCAAGTCAGACTTTGTCCTTTAATAAAAAATGGATGAGGCTGAAATCCACACTTGTTTTGTCATGATCTAAGCTTTAGACTACAGCTGTACAGCAGTTCCTTACCAAAGAAGAATGTGTGAGGATGGTAAGAATTTTGAAGTAGTCACCCAACAACAAAGCTGTCATATATAAAACATTCTTTATATATAGTCGATGTATTTACATATTCATAGTCGACTGTGGAATGATAGATGATAGATACAACGATAAAACGACAGAGATAGATAGATAGATAGATAGATTAGTTAAACTGCTCAAAGTAATTAATCCAAAATTTTCTCAAATAAGAATGAATAAAAAGGTTACAGTCATCTTCTTTATATAGTAGCACTCTCTGTTATTCCGAGAAACTAATATTTAAGAACAAAGCCTGTTTTCACAGGAAAATCATTGACTTGCATTTAATTGTAAAGAAAGTCTCAAACAGATTGTGTTCTTGAACTGACAAGCTGTTCCCTCAGTTCTGAGAGAAAGAAAATCAAGAATTATACTAACACAACAGCAAAGAACAAGTAGGTTGTAAGTCGCATCCCTCGGGCAGCCAGTTTTTACAGTGCTAAAGTGAAGCTTCTTTCATGTGTCATTTCAAAGAGGCCTCTATTGCTTCAAAGACTTCCTTTGAGGGAATATTTCATTATTTGAATTCCCGGCGCTAAGGTTAACAGAACAATTAGACAACAAAACTGTAGCTTGATGAAGCAAATCAAGCCTGACACAGAGAAAGCTTGAAATCAAACACAACGTTAAGGTAGACAGCTTTACTGGAAATAAAATAAATCCACTGCAATATTGACCGACTTGAGTAAAGCTGCTCAGGTTGAAAACTGTGATCTGCTGCTAACACGAAGCAACACATCAGCGCTAACCCGGTCAAGTTGTCAAGTGTCAAATAACTGCATTCTGCAGGCTTTTTCACACATACAACAACACTTCTGAGCTACAAGAGAAGAATTAACCATTACGTTTAACAGCAAAGACTGTCATGGTGTTGAAATGGGAGGGCGTTCTGTTTTCCTGTGATATTGTGCTGCGATGGTGAGCCACAGTGGAGCAACACAATCTTCGGTTAACCACCGAACCTGGATCTTCCTTTAGAAGTGAGACTACCGCCTGCTGGCACTATTTGTGGTAAAACCCATTTAGGCCCTATTTAGAGGTAGCTTACATACTGAAGAAAAAAACTCTAGCGTGTTGATACCATTCTCACAGGCTCCCTGAAAACTTCTGCTTTTCCTGTTTTTCATTCTTTCTCACTGCTTTTTCACAGTTTTTCTCAGCGTGCATTCGTGTGACAAAACAAGAGAGCCTAGAAGAACGCCCCAGAAACATCTGACACCGTTTCGCATGAATGGCAGGCAGGACTTTTTTGAAAATACTCTCGTAAAAGGAGCGGGTTTAAAAACCTGCAGCAGTGCGAGAGCTGAAAAATAGGTCATGTTGTAAGCGAGCTTCTCGCGGAGACCCTGAGCAATCACAGAATTATTCACAAGAAAGAGGATTCCAAGTGTGCTGTGGCTTCACTTGATGTCTGGAACTCATAGCTGCTCTCGGAGGAGGAATGCTGTGAATTTTGGCCTGATGTCCCTTCTGCCCCTGTAAACTGGTTACTTTAGAAGCACGGAATTACTTAACAGAAGGATTTCTCCGGAATACCCTCAATCTGATGAGACCGAACTCTGTCGCAACCTCTGCTTGTGGATAGACTCAGCAAATAACTAAACGATTGTGTCACACGATGGTCGATGCAACCCTGAATTACACTTTAAAATCAAACACACGGGTTAAGACCATCTGATTTCAATGAAAATAAATAGCCTGTCTCTCATATTAGCAAGCCGTGATGACTAAGCCATCTGAATAAATAGAGATGATGGATCCCTATTACAGAGCATATGAAAAGTAGGGTCAAGAGCCAAAAATACACAAAAGATAATCTAATTATACAGGCAACTAGCTTAACCTTTAATTTAAAGGTTTTCTAACAGATACTATCTATCAAGATACTATCAATTATCTTCTACTATAATTATCAATTATCTTATATACTGTGCGTCATTTGCTTCCCCTCCCCTCAAACCATTGCCATCTGAGCCTTGGGTCCGTTTGTCTATATGGAAGAACTTGAAATAGAGTGTTATAGAGATTCCTGAAATGTTCTTTGTAATTAAATCTCACAAGACGTGCCCTCAGTAGGTTTTGGTCTAGAACTGTGGTTCTCAAATTGTGATCTCCAGAAACCCTGGTGGTCTGTACAAATCTGTCATGTTAACCAAGGCTGCATTCATTTGATCAAAAATACAGTAAAACGGTAAAATTATGAAATACAGTTTAAAATAACTGTTTCCTATTTTAATACATTTTAAAATGTTATTTATTTCTGTGGTGGCAAAGCTGAATTTTCTTTACTGTCACTTTTGATCAGTTTAATGCATCCTTGCTGAATAAGATTAATTAAAAAAATATATTTGAGCAGAAACTTTTGAACAGTAGTGTTGGAAAAAAGTACAAACACTTGGCTGAGTAATCAACTCAATTAATTAACTGACTGCGTAACATAATTTGTGGTAAAGTTTTTTAATTGGCTCATTTCAAAAATGTAACTCTGTACATTAGTATTTAGTCTCAGTTGGAGAACAGTCGCAATCTCATTTCAATGAAATAAGAACAAAATAGCAGTCTGGGAAAATTAGGGATAATTTGTACACCACTTAAAACTGCAGGTAATTTGCTCTGAAGTAGTTTGTATTTTCTCCCAGATTTGAGGAGTTATGTGATCCAGAATCTTTCAGAAAGCTCCCTGGATTTCTGCAGAATTTGAACACCCACCGTTCACAGTTCATTCAGTCTGTTCGTTTATTAAATATCATGGCTAATTTGATCATGCTTTCAGCTGCCATCAAGACTGCAGTTTCCTGAGCTCTGTTTAACACATTTTACCACGCTCAAATCCATTCAGCAGTTTTTCTCCAAAAATCTGCACAGAAAATGTTAAAAAGGACTGCAGGATCCATCTGGGAAGAATAAAACTGTTAGTCCCTCAGTCGTCTGAATAGCACAACAAGATTTTTAAAGTTTCTGAAGAAAATGTGAGTAGTGTTTTCTCATGCATATGCAAGAGTCCCACATTTGATGGTTTAGTACATTGCAATGCACTTTCTAGGTTGTTCTAGCAACCATCCAGAAGACCCTATGAGCCACTTAAAAGAGTCAAAGATTCCACCCACAATAATATCATATCCTGCTCCCTAGATCAATAATGTTTTTCCCATTTTAATGTCTTGCTTAGAAAAGCAGCAGCACAATCTTAAAACAGTTCAAGTGAGGCAAAGTTTTGTTGTGCTTATGAGAACCTTTTTCAAAATACAGCATCATCTGACAAAACCGTCACAGTCTCAACAAGCTAAATTCTTCCACGCACCATTTGCACAAGAGTTCATTGAATTCACTTCTTTACAATGGTGAATTGGAGACTCAGGCCCTTTTCAAGCAAAATAAATCAATACCAAATGGTTCCACCAAGTAATAAGCACTTAAGAGTTTTACTGCAACACAATACCAGTGACGTGGACTTTATATGACACTGAAAGCTCTCCGTTCTCTGGTCCTTGCATGTATAATGCACATATATTCCCAGACAAGCCCGTCTTTGAGTCTCTGCTGCCTTCTAACCCTCGCTGCCTCCAAATCATTCCACTAGTGGATTTGTGTATTATTAGATTAGATTAAAGAGTTTCTATCTTTTTTATCGTGGGTGCTACTCATCCATAGATCTCTCAGTCTCTCGCTCATTACACTCATTAATAATCCTCTTCAGATACACAATGACTCAGACGCTGTTGTGTCAGTGAGACCACTCTCTGTGCTGGAAAAGGGCAAACACTAACCTTGGACAAAGAGAGATGTGAAATGTAGTCACAGGAAATATTTCAGAAGATAGAAAAGGGTGTAGTTTACCGATTGTCTGTTTGTCACTGTCTTCTAAAAAGCATGTGAAAACATGATTCATTGGTATACTTATAAAGCATTAAAGGTACAGTTCACACAAAAATTTAAAATTTGTCATCATTTACTCGCTCTCATGTTTTTCCAAACCTATATGAGTTTCTTTCTTCTGCTGAACACAAAAGAAGATATTTTGAAGAATACTGACAACCAAACAGTGGCTGGTTTCCATTGACTTCCATAGTACTTTGTTATCTATACTATGATAGTCAATGGCAACCAGCCACTGTTTGGTTGTCAGCATTCTTCAAAATATCTCCTTTCTCTTCTTTTGTCTGCACAGCATTCAAAGTATACTTCTTTTTCCGCTGACATCACTTAGATCATCCAGGCTATTGGATAAATAATGC